GAAACGCGGAATGGTGACGGCAGCGCTTCGCTTCGTCACGATAACGGACACGTGCAGCCTGTTCGTGCCAACAACACGCGGCATGAGCCGTTGTCAGCGCTGCCCTCGCCCGCTGGCACGAGGAAGCGCCACTATGTCATTCACATCTCAGCAGACACGGTTGATGAGAGCTTGCCTGCAAGCAAGGCTGTTGCGGTTGCACAGATGGAAGGCCGAGCGCAATGCAGCGATCCACCACAGCACAATGCTGGTCCGGCTGGTCGGTTCGCTCCCATTCGTGGTGATGACAATGGCGATGATGGTGACGACGACGATGACAATGATGCGGATGATGGGAACGCCAACGCTGATGGTGGTCGTGCCAGTGGTGGTGGTGGAGGCAGGCGTTGGAGCATTGGCACCGGCAGACATCGCCGCTCGAGCCTGTCGCCATCGCACGGGCTGCTGACCGTTGACATACCCCCTCGGCCCGTGAGCGCATGCTCCTCGCGACGCCCACGATCAAGGTTTGACCATTGGTGATGATGACGACGATGATGGTGGTGGTGGTGGCTGTGGCCGTCATTGTTTGTTCATCATGGTGGTGGATGACTGGTTGTGGTGAACATGCACTGGCTGTGCCAACGGTTGCGAGCTACATGCCATGCTGAGGTTGCCCGTGCGTGAGCGCTGCTGATCTTGCAATTGCCCTCTGCTGCCTGTTACCATGCGTGCACACACACACACACACACAATCTCTCCTGTTGCCCTGGCGGTGTCATTCACACCTGTGTTGATGATGTGTTGCAGGGGGCGCCATCAGAGCGCATCTCACGCCACGCAGAACATCGTGCGCCGTTTCCGTGAGTTGTTCTCAACAGTGACACTGTGACATGCTGTGAAAACCTTGACACGTTGATGCAATGCAACTGTGTGTGTGTGTGTGTGTGTGCTCTTGCGCATGGGTATGTTGGGGTACATACATCCATCTGTGCGTGGACTTGGTCGCAAGCCAACTCTCATACTTGAGGTTCACGCTTCCTCGCTGACGTTGCACTCATATCCACCATACCTTTCAGGCAAATTGAGCTCGCACTACAACGTCTTCCACGGCCGCGGCGGCCGCCAGCACGACCACGATGACGACGACGATGATGACTACACCGAGTGCGTAGCGCAACGGCCCCAACATACATTGTGCCAGTGCACACCATTTGCGCGTGTTTGTTTGTTTGTTTGTTTGTTTGTTTGTTTGTTTGTTTGTTTGTTTGTTTGTTTGTTTGTTTGTTTGTTTGTTTGTTTGTTTGTTTGTTTGTTTGTTTGTTTGTTTGCGGGGAAGTACACAGCAGCACGCAGCTGTGTGCACATTTGTACACTCACCACTCTCAACCAAACCCGCGCCAACACTCAAACCACACGTCACGACATCCATTGTTGCATCATTTTCAGGGGCAGAACGCACAGGCGCCGCTCCTCCTCCTGCCCGACGAAATCGAAAGCGAAGAGCAAGGCGGCATCGGCTGCAGACGAGAGAGGCTGCGACTACACGCGCATTTACCAGCACTACACGACCCGGCGTGGCGCAAGGCAGCAGAACGTCGACGATCGCGACGTGAGCACGTTGCAGTGTTTGTGATGGTGGCGGTGATGGCGTCTTGATGTTGTTGTTCATGCGTGCATACTTGTGCGTCTGTCTTATGTAGTCCGTTTGTCTTATCTCTGGGTCCATGAAGGCGCACCTGTGTACGTCGGAGTGTGTGTCAGTTGTGCTCCAATTCTTGCAAACTCCGCAATCATGTCACATGGTCATCCACATTCACATTTCATGTCCATGCGTGTCACCACCCTGTTGCCAATCCCCTGCCTTCTTCCCACGCTGCAGGTTTCTGTCGGTGAAAACTACCTGGCAACTCTGGACAATTTTGAGTTTGATTTGCTCTTGATGCGCTACCAGACGGTGGAGGAGATGGCGGCATATGGGCATCGCCAGCCGCTCGTTGCCGAGTCGATGTCTGATCTCGTCATCTACACGCGCGCGGTGAAGTTTACGCGCTTTGCGTCCAAGCATCCACGTGCGCCAGGCAACGGCACGTGCAACGCAGAGGGGGAGCCACACCTCCCCGTCTTTGCATATGAGATGTCCAGCTTCAGCGGTGCGTGGTGATGTTTGATGTGTGGTGGTGGCGAGGGCTTCTGTGGTCTGGGTGAATATTGTGAGAGTTGATCATTGGGCGTCTCTGAAGTGATGTTGTAGTAGTAGTAGTAGTTGTTGTTTTAAGTTGTTGTTTTAAGTTGTTGTTTTAAGTTGTTGTTTAAGGTGTTGTTGTTTAAGGTGTTGTCATTGTTGTTGCGCGAAGTAGGACAGCTCGGTCATGTGTGATGGTAAACTATCACACGTTGCGAATGCATGTCAACATGCATGCATGCACACATGCAAGTTTATCGCCCAAGCGTGTTTCACGTTCGCTCACGGTCAAACTGCCCTGTGACGCCGGTATCTGCACCCAACCTTCCTCTCCCCGTTCATTCACGTGTGTGCAGAGGAGGCAGACAAGATGCCCGTGCGAAAGATGCTTGTGTCGTTCCAGGAGCACAATATGTACAAGCTGACACGCATTTACCCCAACGGAAAGCGGTATGCACGACCAGCCTGTCACAAGGGCACGTTGTGTGTGTGTGTGTGTGTGTGTGTGTGCGTGCGTGCGCGCGTGCGTGTGTGTGATTGTGTGATTATGTGATTGTGTGATTGCGCCGTGAGACACTGCGCCGTGAGACACTGTGCCGGGGTGCCAGCATGATTGGGGTGATTGCTCCACTGTGTTTCAACTCATCATCATCGCTCAATTCACACACACACACAAACACACACACATACACATACACACACACACACACATTGCCTCTTCGTCATCGCAGCTTTGACTCTTCAAACTTCAATCCGATTATGTTTTGGGGCGCTGGGTGCCAACTCGGTGCGTACTTCAGCACACATGCGCGCGCATCCATGTGTATGTGCTTGGCGCTTACGCTTGTGGTGCTGGCCGTTTTGTTCACTTGCGTTGCTTCATGCACCACCCCACCCAGCTCATAACCCCCCTTCCCTCTCGCTCACTCACTCACTCACTCACTCACTCACTCACTCACTCACTCACTCACTCACTCACTCACTCACTCACTCACTCACTCACTCACTCACTCACTCACTCACTCACTCACTCACTCACTCACTCACTCACTCACTCACTCACTCACAAACACAACAACATTCCAGTGTCACTGAACTGGCAGACGCCTGACACGAACATGCTGCTGTACAACGCATTTTTCCAGCACCTGAACGGCGGCTGTGGATATGTCCTCAAGCCAAAGTTCATGCGCGACCCAGAACTGTACGTTGAAATTGATGCTGTTGTTGATGAAGGTGATGAGCTGACAGTCGCGCGAAAGCGGAACAACCCCCTAACTCTTCATTTGAGCCACACCGCCCACTCCCTTGCTTGCATGCACGCTGTGAAATGCACACTTGCTTCTATACACACACATACACACACACACACCCACTCACCCACCCACCCACACACACACACATACACACTCTCACACACTCTCACTTTCACTCTCACACACAACCCTTAAATCTGACACAGGTGCCATGATCGACTGGAGGCAGTTGCACGTGGCGACATGCACGCGTTTTCCATCTCTGTCCTCTCGTGTGTGAACTTGCCTGGCGAAGGCCTGTTCACGGTGGAGGTGGAGGTGCACACCCTCAACAGCAGCAGCCCAAAGATCTTCCAGACAAAGGAGGTGGTAGCTTCGTCTTCTCTCAACAAGCTCGCCCCTCAGTGGTGCCAGAACATTCGATTCAAGTGAGACACAGATGTGCAGCTGGTGTACACACACGTACATGTACAGTGGCGCGTGCGTGTGTTGTGGCATGTGGGTTGTTCGTGTGCGAGCAGAGAGGTTGCACGTCACGTCCACGGCGCAGTTCAACTCAACTTTGCTTTGTCCGTCAGCAACGTCACACCCTCTGCATTGATTGTCAGCAACATCACGCCTTCCTCACCCCACTGCCCGTCTTTGTCATTGCGCCAACAGGGTGACGTTTCCAGAGATGACGATGCTGCGGTTTCGCCTCGTGCGCAGAAAAGCAACAAAGGCACAGCTGCAGCGGCCAAAGTCGCATCTCCACGCCATGCAGCAAGCACTCGCAGGCACGGGCAGCAAGCTGGCGACGGCAACGCTCTTTGAGCATGGCCACAAGAGCAAGGATACAAGCAATCATGCAGCAACAGCAGCAGCAGCGGCGGCGGCGGCGACATCGTCCTCAGCAACAGCAACGCCATCGCCAGCGGATGATGACAGCAAGGATGGTGGATTGCCTGGAAAGAAATGGACGTTTGCAAGCGCCGCATTTGGTCGCAAGTCCGCACCATCGTCATCGCCATCATCGCCCACACAGCATGCAGCACCAACAACACCAACAGCTGGTGGCTCGGAGCAAACAATGTCACCTTCTCCACAACAACAGCAGCAACAGCAACACCAGTCATCCACTGCTGCGACATCAAGACCCGAGACGAGAGGAGAATCAGCAACAGAAGGCGATGATGCGACGGATGCGAAGAAGAACAAGAAGAAGAATAAGCGAAAGGGGCGACAGCGTGCAGACTCCAATGGGGAAAGCGGACCCAAAGTCCTGGAGGCGTGGCTGCCACTGACTGCGCTGCGCTCGGGGTTGCGTCATGTCACGCTTGTGCCGGAAGGCGTGGAGGCCCTCAACGTCATCACCAGCACAGGCCCCTTGCAAGGCTTTGCCAAGCGCAGTGCCAAGGCGCAACCGCTGTACCCAAACGTGAGCAAGCAGGTGTTCTCCGCAGAAGGAAAACGCTCGCTCTTGGCCGGTGTGCTGGTGGGTGGCAGCACGACAGCCAACCTGCCCGGGTCCCGCGTGCCGACGGTCAACGCCCTCCCGTGCACGCTGCTCTTGAACATCTTCAGCAGCACGATCAAGGGGGACAGCACCCAAGCCGTTAGCTTAGACGGTGATGTGATGGGCGCATCCCGCAGTCGTGTCAACAGCAACGCCACCAAGCGCAGCAGAGCAGACAGCAGTGCCACCCGAAGCAGAACAAACAGCAACACGACCAAGCGGGCTGGCAAAGTCGCCCCACCCACTGCTGTTGTCGAGGCCGTGAATGGCGCTGCTGATGCAACACCAGCAACAATGACGATGGCGAGCAACAGCAGCGGTAGCGTTGAGGATGGTGTCGGTGCTGCTGACTCAGCATTGGTGCCAGTGCTTGAGTCAAAACCCGTTCGCGACGAAGATGAAGCGGTGCAACTTGATTCAAGCAACGACAGCCCAGGCACCGTGATGGGCACAGGCACAGGCACCCGTGGCACCAGCCAAAGCAGCAGCAACACCCTTGCTGTGCACAGTGATTTCTCTGAAGGCGGGCAGCAGCGTGCACGCACGCTCTCACGCAGAGCGTCCAAACTCTTTCGCTCCCCGTCATCATGGCTGCGCCTGTCCGAGAAGCGTGCACAGCTGGAGCTGGCAGTAACACAGCAGCAGCAGCAGCAGCAGCAGCAGCAGCAGCAGCAGTGGGCAGGTGGGTCTGATGGCAGTGTGCAAGTGCGCGGACCTGAGCGAACTGAGCGACAGAGTGCAGCTTCGTCCACGGAACAAGCGTCCCTTTCTGGCTCGCTCAACAAGGCGTTTCGCTTGCACCTACGCGAGCCCTTGTGCCAAGTGGGAACACCATCACAGTACTTCCTCGCACCGGCATCTGCAAGCAGCTGTGACCTCCAGTTACAGGCGCCCACGTTTGCGCGCGTGTACCTGGAGACATCTGTAATGCCCCACCGTCACAGCAGCAGCAATTCTCGGACATCTCACATCATCATGATCACCAGCAGCACTACGATGCACGCCATCGCACACACCCTCCTGCAGGTCTGCGACGCGCGCGCGCGCGTGTGTGTGTGCGTGCGTGCGTGCGTGTATGTGTGTGTGTGTGTTTGTGCGTATTCATGTTGTGTTTGTGTGTGCGTGTGCGTGTGCGTGTGCGTCTTGATTTGTGTTTGTGAGCGTGTTTGAGTTCATGCGTGGCACATTTGCGTTGCCATCTCGCTGTATCATTCCATCCTCAGCTCACAACTTACTGCCTGGAATTGTTGCGCAAACGTCACCCTCTGATCGGCCTTATAGTTGTCTCAGAGCAGCAGTGAGAGCCACGTGGGTGTACATGAACTGTCCCTCGTGCACGCAGACGATGCCGTGTGCACACGTGCGTTTGACCAGAAGCCCATGCCGGAGGAGGCCAGTGATCAGAACAGCGACACTGCCGTTGAGCCGTATGTGCTGTTTCCGCATGGCCTGCGGCGCGTGACATACAGGACACACATGCAAGTGGACGTGAACGAGAACACACAGGTGTTCTTTGTGTTTGCTGAAGTGAAGGCGCACGAAGAGGACACAGAAAGTCAGCGCAACGCTGCTGCACGCCTCGTCGCCCAAGTCAAGGAAGCGAGAGCATCGCAACAGGCCTCACAAGAATCCTCGCCACAACAGCAGCAGCAGCAGCAGCAAATGGAGGAAGAGCAAACAGCCGTCGCAGCCCCTGACCCGAGCCAGAACGGTAATGATGACGACGCTGATGGTGATGACGATGCCAATGACGGTGACAATGATGAGGATGATGGTGACATGAACACTCTCACTGGCGTATCTGCGCTTGATCTGCGTCGCAGTTATCGCTGCGCTGTGAGCAAGAGTGTCCCACCTCGTGTCGTTGGTGCACTGCCAGCTACAGCTTCCGCCCACGATACCGACGGTGCCAGCCACACGGCCAATATCAACACCAGCAATGTCGACAGCCACAGCAAGCCCGCCGCTGATGCTGCTGCTGAGGGAGAAACAGATGAGGAGGAGGACTTGTCACCGCGCTCGCGTGCACGACGCGGGTGGCGGCACGTTCGCCGCTTGCTGCCACGACTCACTGACATCGTGCACAGTCACAGTCACAACGACAACGACAGTAGACCTGGCGATGGCGCTGACGATGGCTGCAGCAACGATGCCTCATCGAACGCACAAGGGTCTTCAACAACAACAACAACAACTGCAGACTCAGCAGCGTCGAGCCCTGCGGATTTGAGCAAGGAGAGCAGGGGACTGTCGACACGTAAGCGCATGCTGAAAGGGCTGAAACGTCTGGCGATGCCGTGGTCACGCAACAAGCCTGCAGGCGGCAAAATGCGACGGCGCAAGGGGTCGGCCCAAGCGCTGTTTATGGTGGTCACACCCACGCATTTGCTGTTCGTTGAGCCGGAACAAGCAGAGGCGCAGGTGTGTGTGCCGCTGTCGGAACTGGCTGGCCTGCGTGGCTCTGTGGATGCCGGCAACATGGACCTGACGTGTGCCACGCACACCATCAGGCTGAGGCCGACTGGCGAAGCGCAGTGGATGCTGCTGTGCAACACGCTGTCGCAGCACACCACCTGCTCTCCCCTTCACACGCCGTCTGTGCAGTCGAGCAAAGGCAGCCGGGGCCGCCGCCGCCGCCGCCGCCGCAACAACACCAGCGCAAGCAGCGGGGTGACCATTAGCAGTCGCTGTGACAGCACGCATCACCTGCCCAGCTTTGACGGGGATGGTGACTCTGTGCGTTCGCACCGCGGCAGTGGCCAGCGCAGTGGCGGGTCGTCTGTGTCCGCAGACACGCGCGTGTGCGTGTCCAAGTCGTCGTCACTACGATTGCAGTCGGGTGGCTCGCGTGCGCACATGCGTCTTCGCAGAGCAACAGCGCTCAGCAGTCTGAGCATTGACAGCACACAGGCGGGCGCGAGGGGCACCAGCGGGGCAGATGGCACATGCAGCGACGCCGAACGACACGATCGCGGCCATGCCTACAACTACGATGGTGATGATGATGGTGTGGTGAACAGTGAGGCAACCCACAGTGGCAGCAGTAGCAGCATGCTCCACGCCACCATCATGCAGCACGCGCGTGGCCGGGGGCAGCTGTCACGGATGACGAGTGGCGCCAGTGTCATCAGCTCTGCGTTTGCGAGCAAGTCCTCCCGCCCCGGATCCAGCCTTGCCTCGCGGCCAAGCTCAAGCCGCCGTCCGCACCACACGTGGTTGTGCGGTGCAGGCAGCAGCAGCAACAGCAGCGATTTTCTTGCTGGTGGCATTGAGTGTGGCGGTGCAGGGTCGCGAACAAGCAGCGTCGTTACCAACAGTGCAAACCAGGGTAGCACCTCCTCCCTTGCCCTGTCGTGGTCCCGTGCATCGTCAGCGCGTGGTCGGCGCCCACGCAGCAGGCAGTTGTCGCGTCAAGGCAGCTGCATGGATGATTATGACAACCTCATGCCTGTAACCGCCCATCCCACTGGCACGATGTTCACGACCGCGCCGGAGGAGCTGTGCCACGAGGCGATGGTCGAGCTTGATCGGAAGCAGATGGCAACCAGCGACCACCAACGCAGCAGCGCACATGTCAGTGCCAGCGCCAGCAAGACTTTCCGTGGTGTTGGCGGTGGCGTTGATGGTGATGATGATGATGATGATGATGATCGATTGGATGACGACACGCGTCGACGCATGCGGCTGCTGCTCGGCGATGGGGAGGGCGGTGTGCGGGACCCAGATGGCATCTTTGATTCGGATGGCGATGACACCGACGATGACAGCATCAATCTCTCTAGTGGTGGTGTTGGTTGTCGCCGTGCCCGTGGCGGCAGCGTTGGCGTTGGCTTTGGCGTTGGCGACGGTGATGGTGGTGACAGCCTCAACACGACTGTGGATGGCAACGATGATACGGCTCAGCTTGAAGACATCACACCAACGCCAACCGCCATCTATTGCCCGCGCGGATCTGACGCTGACAGCGTGGTCACGCTGCGTGATGGTGACGGCGACGACGGTCGTTGCGCTGGCCAAGGGCACGCATGGCGTGACATGGGTGAACAGCAAGGGCAACGGGAGCGGCAGAGTCGGCGGATGAGCCGTGGCCGTAACAGCTGCATGGCGCGTTCCGTACCAGAGACACGCCGTCGCCGCCACATGGACTTTGATGATGGTCATGATGTTGATGATGTTGATGATCGTGATCATGATGATGACGCCAGGAGCAATGGCCTGCGTGGCGCTGAACGGCAGCTTGGACGCCAGTCTGACCACTTGAGTGTGTATGACAACATTGTCAAGGATGATGACACGGGTTCAAACAGTGCTGTCGCCCGTGGTCGCCACAACAGTCGCCAGCATCACCTCCTTCTCCAACAACCACAGCAACAGCAACAGCACCACCTATGCCCTGATGCCCTTGGCGCGTCAGTCACGTCTCGCCCAAAGTCTGCGCCTGCACCTGGCCGCCGCCGTCGCCGCAACAACACCGTCTCATACCATCCCAGCCGCTTTGCTGTGTCGCTCGCCACCATCGTCGAGTCGCCACGCACCAGCCTGGATCTCTCACCATCATACCACGCTGCGGTGTGTGCGGACACCACAGCTGTGTCTGTCACTGTTGAGAATGTGACCGCGGCCTCGCCCGTGACTGCGGATGCCTGCGAGCAATTGCTGTCACCACATCATCAGCAGCACATGCCACATCACGGTGCAGCGCGGCTGCTGAGGAAAACGCTGGGTGGTGGTGAATGTTTGGGCCGGCTCAGCCGTCCACACACAGCACTTGCAAGTGTGCGCACGCCAGAAACACACGCTCGCACGAGCCCTGATGTGACGCTGCAAGTCAACGATGCCTCCAAGAGCGGTGACCGTGATGGCGATGGGGAGGGTGAGCGCGGTGGAATGCGTCGTGTTGACAGCAGTGCTCGGCGTCTGCTGCATGGTGGCAGCTCGCGCCTGCTGCTGTGCAACGGCATTGTCATTGAGGAAGAAGACGTGGATGTTGGTGACGATGACAGTGCTGGTGATGGCGGTGGTGGTGTCGGTGACGTGTGTGAAACCGACAACACCACGAGCAGCATTGCTGTGCCTTGCGTGACGTTTGGCAGTGATGATGGCGATGACGTTGATGAAGGCGAGGAGTACCAGGAAGAAGAGGACCACTTTCCCCTGCCAGAGGGCGGTGGTGTTGTCGCACTGGATGACTTCTCTGATAGCGACGACGATGATGACGATGATGGTGTTGCTGTTGGCGTTGATGGCGATGGCATCAGCCGTGGTGGCGCTAAGATGGGGGCTGAGCCTCCAACCAAAGCCAGCAGCTGTGGTGACAATGACAGTGGAAGCGCTCATCGTGACACCACGTGCAACACAGTCACTGCAACAGATGAAGTGGGGACCAAGTCTGCTGGCACGGGCAACACGGAATGTGCCCGCAGTCCTACCGTCGTCAGCAACAAGGACGCCACGGCAGATACACCAGCATCGCTGGCCAATACGCCAGTTGACTGCACAAAGCAGCTCTGTGTGGCGTCGTCAGCACACACAGCAATCCGGCCTGGCACAGCGCCCACACGGCCCTGCGCTGCCGCTGGTGAACGCACACGTGACGACAACACCAATGGTGGTGATGGTCGTGGCAGTGACCGTGATGGTGTTGCAAAGCTGCTTGGGCGGCGGTGTTCGTATGATGACGCCGTCACCCCCGTCGTTTCCCAGCTCATGGAACAGCACATGTTGCGAGCAGCTGCAACGGGTGATGTCGCCCACGTTGATGCTGGAGATGGTTGCGATGACGACGAGGAGGATGGGAACGAGCAGGGAGTAAAGAAAGCACGCAAGAGTGCACCTGCTGCGCATGACGGTCACGGTGACCACAGGCCTGCTCGTGGCGGTGATGACAGCAGTGATGACGACGATGGACATGGTGGTGGTGGCAGCAACGGCAGCGGCACGCGCGAACCTGCCAACACCAACAACACCAACACCAACAACAACAACAACAACAACAACAACAACAACAACAACACCGCCAACAACAACAACACCAACAACAACAACAACAACAACAACAACAACAACAACACCGCCAACAACACCGCCAACAACAACAACAACAACAACAACAACAACAACAACAACAACAACACCGCCAACAACAACAACAACAACAACAACAACAACACTGATCGCCCTTCTCAGCACTACGAAGCCAATGATGGGTGTGATGATGATGGTGACTGTGCACATGAGCATAACAGCATCATCACAAGCCCTTCGACCAGCGCGTCCTGCTGCTACTGTTCTCAGTGCTGCTACAGCCACTCCAGCAGTGACTACACCGCGTACACGTGCTCCTGCACCACTGATGGCAGTGTGTGTGCACGGGGCAACAGCATTCAGCCACCGTCCATCGACGAAGACGATGTTGTGATGATGGGTGATGGCGGTGAGTCGGCTGAGCAGTATGAGCGCATCAAGTTTGGACAGGAGTTGACAGACGCCGTGGCTGCGGAGCTGGCAAAGGAAGCGGAAAAACATTCCTCTGGTGAAAATGCTGATGGCAGCACAACGTCACGCCCGTACGACCTCGTCATTTTCCAAGCCAAGGTGTGCTTTGTGTGTGTGTGTGTGTGTGTGTTGGGGGAAGGGTTGCGTTTGTACATGTGCGTTTGTACATGTGCGTTTGTACATGTGCGTTTGTACATGTGCGTTTGTACATGTGTGCCTGCATACGTATTTCTTGCCAACACAAGTTGTGCCGACATTTTGCGTGTTTGCGGTGGGTGTTGGCTCGACTATTTCCGCGTTACTCACTGATTCATGCGCACACACGCACGCACACACACACACACACACACACACGCACACACACACCAACAGGAAACCATTCGCGCGCTGCATGCACGGCGTCGGATGACACACCCACAAGTGCGACTGCTGCGCTTGGCTGAAACCATCATGCGTGAGGCAGCCACCAACAACATGCTGCACTTGAGCAACACCGACGCTGGCGACGGCGATGGCCCTGATAGTGTTCACGTCAACGCTGCAAAGGGGGACGCACTGATGTCACGCCGGCACGCAGCATCCCGCAAGCACCACGCTGCTCTGCCGCCACCGCCGCCGCCAAACTGTGTGCGGTCGTCGGATGAGCGAATGGCGGCGCTCGCGCGGGTGTGGAACGCGGCTGACATGCAGGCAATGCGCGCAACCATTGCGGCAGCTGCATCTGCCCGCAACTCTCGCCCGGCATCGCTTTACGAGGCCAACAGCACGCTTGGCTCGACGATGTCAATGCCTCAGGAAGGGCACGCTCTTTGCACCCGGTGCAGCAGCGGCAACGGCCATGCCAGTTGCATGCAGGCGGGTTTGGATGAATCCGTGCATGCACACTCTCACCACAGCGTCAATGAGGACAACGAAGACAATGACCACACCAACGAGCGGCACGATGAGCAAATGAACGGTGCTGCGGTATTGGACCGCCGTCACCAATCTTACGGGAGGCACCAGCAGTCTGCAACGACAGCACCAGCAACAACAGGCACCACGCCAACTGCAAAAACAACAGCAAGTCCGTCTTCGCCAACAGAAGCAACCGTGAGAAGCGTTCGCACGACATCAAGTGGTGCATCTCGCAAGGCGTTCAGCCCCGCGTCGTCATCGCCATCGGAGACGAACTCCAGATTTGCGTTTGCGCAACTGATGCGAACGCAACGCACGTCCATGTCATCCCCCGTGCTCGCCGTGCCTGGCAGTGCTTCCGGTCATCACATCAGCAGCAGTCGTGGTGGCGATGATGGCGACGGTCATGGTGATGGTGTGTTGATGGAAGCAGTGATGCTGAGGTCTGGCTCGTCCATGGCTGACACGCTGTGCAGCTGCAGCTGTGGCGGCGGCCCCCGTGTGCCGAGTGCCACTAGTGGCTGCGGTGATCTGAGCAGCACTTGTCATGACAGCCACAGGGCGTGCACAAGCAGTGGCCACAACGGTAGTAGCAGCAGCAGCAGCGTTATGGATGATGGCAACGCACGTGCAACATGTGGGCAAGCAAGTGACATCACCACACACAGGGGATCCTCCAAGGCCGTTAGCACCGTCGATTGCAACGACTGCAACAACCATGATGACTGCGCAATTGACACGGACAGTGGACAGGCTGAGTCATGGAGCGTGCCGAGTGATGCCGCTGCCGCGCACACGCAGGCGGCCGTGGTGCAGCACTTGCACATTGCACGTGGTCGCTTGCACGGCACCTTTGCAACGCCGCCGCAGCTGCTTGTTCGCTGCTCGTCACTGCCTGCATCGCTTCGCTCCACGCCTGCTGCGAGCAGGGCCGCGTCCACCACGCGCACGAACAACGCACCAGCAGCAGCAACAGCAACAGCGGCAGCGGCCCGGGCAATGGCCAGGCCGCCAACACCTCTTTCCAGTATGACAGCGGCGTCAGCAGTGCGATCAGGCCAAAGCGTGCGGAGCATGCGACCAAAGCAGCAGCGATCCTCGCTGGCATCTGTTGCGTCTGCGACGTCCATTTGCTCCATGCGCAGCCACGATATTGGTGACAGCAGCAGCGTGGCTGCAAATGGGAGACTTGCGGTTGTACCAGAACAACAGAGACGCACGCTGATGTCGTCTGCAGCGATGCACAAGACGGCGTCTGCTCTGTCTGTGTCTGCAATGAACAGACTCACGCAGTGTCGCGCACGCTCAACGCCACCCACGTCTGCGGCCCTGGATGCCATGAACATCATGGGGAACGTGAACAGGACCAGCAACAGAAGCAGTGTGTACAGCAACGTCTGTGACAGCGACGACAACAGCGTGCATGGTGTCGGTCTGGTTGGCGCAGGATGCAGATGGGACGATGACCGCACTGCATCGGAAGAACCACGGCTGCCGCTGCATGGTGTGAGGACACACGTGCGACCAAACACCGCCGATGTCAGCAATGTTGGTGTTCGCCGACACCGGCTCGACAGCATTGGCAGCATTGACAGTAACGGCAGCACTCGTGGTGGTGGTGATGGTGGTGGCATGCTCGTGCTGATGCGAACACGTGCGCGACAGCGCAGACCGCGCGTGAGCAACGTGTGACGTTGACATCAAATACGCACGCACGCGCGTGCGCATAAGGACATGTATGTTTGTGTTTGTGTTTAGTTTTGTTTCCTTTGTTTGTTTTTGAACAGATTTCTGAATCCACGAGCCATACGTGCGTTTTGTACGTTTGCTCGTTGTCTTTCTTGTTTCAAATGTTGCTTGCTCGTTCACTTGCGAATGTCACCCACGTTCTGTGTGGGTGCATGTCGTTTTGTGCTTTCTTTGGCTACATTCGAATCTTTACTTCACGTCACAGTGCTGTCATGGTGGGCACCGTGCCTTTGATACGTTCATTTCACTTTCATGCTGATAGGCTGATATGGTCAGATCAGCCAGAGAATCTTCCGTGTATTCATCGTATTCATTTGTATCTGTACATTCACTATTTCATTGCTGCGAAGCACACACCTCTGCACATCCCGATACCCTTCCTCGCTTCTCGCGTTGGTGTGAGCATGCACTCCCCGTTGGAGGATTGTTACGTGACGCATCACGCCTGCGTGTTTCCGCTGATTATCAACATCTCCAGACCATGCGTTCGTTCATTCATTCATTCATGCACAGAAGCTTGTACCAATTTGTGCGAATGCGCCTTTTGTGTGTTTGTGCGTTTGTTGTGTCCTGCAACATTTTCGTTGATCGAATACACGCGAGTTCGGAACAACATGGAGGAAGACGCATGTTGTGTGTGTGTGTGTCTGTGTGTGCGTGTGTGTGTGTGCGCCTGTGTATGCGTGTGTGTGTCTGTGTCTGTGGCATTCATATGGTGTGTGTTTGGTTGTCTGTGTATGCGTGTGTGTGTCTGTGTCTGTGGCATTCATATGGAGTGTGTTTGGTTGTGTATATTGCAAGAGGTGTAAAGACAAATGAGCAAACCCCAAGCAACGCATGCACAACTACCATCGATCAATCTCTCTTTGCACACATCAATAAAGACGAACGAACAGGAAGCTATCAGGTAATCATACAACACAACATTATCATGTACACAATCATCATGAACGCCAAACTGCTATGAACGGTCGCCAGCGACACGCACGCATGTGCTCTCCCAAAAAGAAAGAACAGTGATGTTTCGCCACACAGTGGCACACGGGAGGGGGGGGGGGGTTGAAAACACGCGGATGAGTGATGAAAACAGAAAAAAACACACGATACACAACGTAACCAAAGCATGAACGAAGAGAGCCCTTTCTCTGCTGCTGCTGCTGCTGCTGCTGCTGCTGCTGCTGCTGTTGTTGTTGTTGTTGTTGTTGTTGTTGTTGTTGTTGTTGTTGTTGTTGTTGTTGTTGTTGTTGTTGTTGTTGTTGTTGTTGTTGTTGTAGTTGTTGTTGTTGTTGTTGTTGTTGTTGTCGAATGCACATCAGTATCAGCAGTTTAGCACGCGAAATCCGCTTGTGTTCCTCACAACACGGTTTAACTGCGTACCACCAGTGCCGCGCTGCTGCTGCTGCTGCTGTTGTGTTGAATCATCGTCAGAACGCAACACCGCGCAAACAGTGTCGTTCTCCAAAACTGACGCGATGGTGGCCAGGCTTTCTGTTGCTTCCTCCAGGCTTCCATCCTCCAATCCAAGCTGCACCAGCGTGTGGATGCACATCATCTCCTTGGCAGCAGTCTGTCGAGCAATGGCAGTTGTGGTGGCGGTAGTGTGCGTAAGCATGAGAAAGTGTATGTGTGTGTGTATGTGTGTGTGTGTGTGTGTGTGTGTGTGTGTGTGTGTGTGTGTGTGTGTGTGTGTGTGTGTGTGGAGGGGGGCCAGAATGTCGAGCATCTTGGCTTGTGGCTGCGCGTATGATCTGCATCCTGGGTTCACCCACTGCTTTGCACGTGAAGAATTGCCTGCAAGCACAAACCTTGATGTGTTCGGTGGTGGCCTGGGTTCCGGACTGCGACGCAACGAGCTTCTGTCGTTCAACATCACATACGCACAACGCAATGTGAGTGAATACGGGAAACCGACGACAGACCCATCAAAACAAGCAAACACAAACGAAGAAGCACGTCGAAGAATCGCGTACGAGTGCACGCAAATCAAACACACACGCAACACTCACACAATCAAATACACAAATTAACACCACAAGCACAATTGCCACCAAACACACAAACACACACGCAACACTCACACACCACTCACACAAACACTCATGCAACACTCACACACAATCAAACACAAGCAAATCAAAAATGCACTCGTACCTGCAGAGCGCGAATGGCGCGCAGGCGGAGGGGAACAAGGTGCGGATCCGTCAAGTGCTGATGTGATGAGCAGTTGATGAGGTGTGTTAGCAACATCAGCAGCGACCAGTCGAGTGTATTCGCATCATCTGCATCATGTTGGCGACTGTGGCGAGCTTCAATGCCCCCGCTGCTCTTGTGGGCTTGCTCGTTGCCACCTTCATCAGCATCACCATCATCGTCATCGTCATCGTCAAACACGCCGCCGTCGCTGTCATGGTCAGCGTCATCGTCGTCTGTCGTGTCGTCATCGGTTGTGTCTGCAATCACGTCATATGAGCCCACGTTGTTCACGACGCAGCTGGCAGTGCTGTCTGTGCTACCCCTCGCTGCTCTTTCACCTTCTGCTTCGTCGCTTGAGCTGAACGCAAACGTGGACTCGTAACTCAACCGCGCCAATGTGTGCGCAGGTAGGGATGACGCGTGCTGTGAAAACCGGCTCGACACCAGCGCCGCGTAGGACTTGCGGCGATCGCGTCCACTCGCTGTAAGGGCGGACAAATCCTCCACATCATCATCACCATCATCCCCACGATCGTCACCGCGACCATCGTCATAATCACCACGATCGTCACCACGACCATCGTCATAATCACCACGATCGTCACCGCGACCATCATCATCATCATCATCATCATCATCATGATCTTCGCCATCAGCATCAACAACGCCGCGGTGGAAGCTGTCACGGTGGCGGGGATGCTGGTCCTGTACACCATCAGCGCGATCCTCATCGCCTGCATCCATCTCCATTTCCACGTCATCTGCAGCAGGTGGTGGGCCCTCATCACCGCCACCGCCATGGCGCGTGTCACGATTGTCGTCGCCTTGTTCGCTGTGCAGGCGGTGAAGAAGGTAGCGGTCGTGTGGTGGCGACAGCTCACGCGCGTGCTTCCGACCACGACCACGACCACGACTGCGACTGCGGGCATGAGAACGCGCGTGATGCGTGCGTTGGTCGCGTTTGTGATCGCGATAATGATGAGGGTGCGCGCGGTGGTGGTCAAGGTGTGCGTGCTGGTGGCGGTGATGGTGGTGAAGATGATTCTCGACGTGTAGCTGTTCAACACGCGTTTCATCTTCGTTGTCGTCACCATCGTACCCATCGACACGGGGTCTGCAACCATCATCATGACCATGCCCGTGGTGGTGGTGACCGTGGTGATGATGAACGTGGTGACGGCCGTGCATGGCTGTGTTCTCTGCCACTTCCGCAGCATCGAGTTCATCATCGCTCTCATCATCATAGTCTGTGTCGGTTGTTGAGCCAACCTCCACATATCCATCATCGTCATCGTCATCGTAGCCATCAGCGCTGTCATTACGCGCACGGTAAAGGCCTGCCGAGACGTCAAGCACAGAAGTGTGCACGCTTTCAGCTGTCTGATCTGCTGTCGCTGCTGTTGCACGCGCTCCTTGTGCTACATGCACTGCTTCCACTGTATGCTGGGCCACCGGTGCGTGAATGTCCGAGCTTGCAGTGCTGGAGCCACTGCCACGTTGGCTGTCGGTGTTGCGGCTGCGATGGCGGCGACCAAGGTGCAGGTGCGACAGTCCTTTGCGAAGACCACGGCGAATAGGCGATTCCCCACGCGTGCGCCCGCCCCCGCAAAGTTGTTCTGCGTCACCATCTGCGCCACGCTCAGCCACGCTGAGCGCGTCAACCATTTCCACCTCCACATCGGTGTCTTCACTCTCGGAGGCGCGGGAGGAGCGGCCGTTAATTGATGATCGAATCATGTGCACAAACCGCGACATGCCCGAGCGGGAGCGATGATCTGATGCATGTTTACGGTGCGGGTGTCGCACGCTGCTGCCTGGGCTGCTGGTATTGCTCGCACCCTGGCTGTTGCCTGCGGTGGGTGCACTGCTCCAATCACCAGACGTGTCCAGCTCGTACACCCCATGCGCTTGCTGCAACACAGTCGTGTTTGGAGACTGTGGGGACGCACGTGTCACGTCTCGGGTCTCTGCCCCTGCTGTTGTCGTTGCCGCTGATGCTGATGGCGAGAGGGGTGACTTGGTTCGCGCTGCCCTGCTTGCGTGCGAGGAAGCCGACACCAGCGCAGAAGAGAGTGGGCTGGGTGTGCGTGGTGGTGTCGTCACATTCTCCATCAGTGCCTGTGATGACAGCATGCGTGGTGGGCTCTGCGCATGCAACCGCTGGTGCTGCTGCTGGTGCTGCTGCTGGTGCTGGTGCTGGTGCTGTTGTTGTTGGTGCTGGTGCTGTTGTTGTTGGTGCTGTTGGTTCTGCTGTGCGGTAGTAGCTTGTGAAAACGAGAATGAGAGCGGAGAACGGTTGCCTGGACTCTGTGAAGCAATCGTGTCGCTGTCGGACACCTCCGTGTGCTCGGACAAGCAGTCCTCATCTCGCTGAGGTGGGCGCCGGTGGCGGTGAAAGTACGTTGCAGCGCTCACAAACGTCGGATGATCACGATCATGGTAGTGGTGGTGATGATGGTGATGGTGGCGACGGTCGTGGCGATGGTGGTGTGTCTGTACAACACTCCTTTCACTCTCCTGTGAAGCTGAAAGACCAGCTCTATCACCACCGTCATCTGCATTGTCCGCATCGTCGTCATCATCGTCGTCATCATCGTCATCATCGTCGTCATTATCGTCGTCATCATCGTCGTTGTCGTCGTCCTGCCACACATTCTCCACCAGGTCGCCAGAAACGCTTGCACCTTCGTTGACATCGCCCGCATCGCCTTCTTCATCAAACATCCCCGACATGGTGACGGCGGCTGCACTGCTACGACGCTGTTCCATGTTCTCAAGTACAACCTGCAGTGAACTTCGGCGCGTCGCCGGGGCGCTCGTGTTGAACACATCAGCGTCAAAGTCCTGGCTTGCACGCGAGTAGCGGCGGCGTGCTGTTGCCGTTGGCGAAGTTGTCGCTGATGTTGGTGTGTACACACCACTGCTCAGCGCCTGTGCGCGCGTAGACGCGTGTGTCTCTCCAGTCTTTGCCGCCAAGTGTTTGGCGATGGCGTTACACAGCAGGCGCCGCTGCACCTCGCATCGCACCTGTACGCTGACTTCGCTGCCGTCTTCAAAGCGAAGCAGCATCGTGTTGTTGCTCTTGCGCACCTTCCATGTTTTCAAAAACTTGAGGGAGAGCACGTGTTGCATCTGGCCTGTCTCCGGATCAAACGTCATCACCTTTCCACCGCCAATGAGTAGGAAGCGGGGTTGCATCAGGGCGGTGCTGCGCTTGTGCGTGACAAAACGTTTCAGCCTGTTCCATGGGCTCATGGCACTCGACGTGGACGTGCTGCCGCGACGAGATGAGGGCGTGGAAGACACAGCAGCAGCACCTGCCGAACTCACGCCACGAGAAATGACCGAAGGCGCCATCGCCATCGCTGGCGTAGCAGCAGTCGCAGATGTTGCACCCTGTGCTGCGGCTGTGGCAGTTGGTGTTGCGGCTGTGGGAGCCGCAGTAGGTGTTGTTGTTGTTGTTGCTGCTGCTGCCGTTGCTGGTGTCGCCGTTGTTGTCGTTGTCGTTGTTGCGGGCTTCGTGGAGGAAGAGGTTGCTGCTTGGTCGCTGCTGTTGCTTCCACGTGCACTTGACAAGGTGGACGGTGGGGTGCGCTGCTGCGTCGCCGCGTGTGATGCTGACGAGTATGGAGCGGATGTGGGCGCACCAGCAGTCACCGCGTCGCCGGACACAGACGGCGCGCGCTCGTGGCTGCGGCTGAGGGGCGAGGGTGCACGGTGCTGGCTTGCACCAGGGGAGCGGGCTCGTGCGGGTGATGTTGGAGGGATTGCTGGCAGCGGGGATGGCGGCGGGGATGTCGCTGACGTGGTGACACGAAGGCTGCTCGTGCCGTGGGCACTTGTGGTGCGTGCAAGAGGGTGAACGCGCGTATTTGCACGCTCGCCGCTCTCTTGAATCATCGGCTGCGTGAGAGGATGCGGTGACGCAGCCACACCTTGCTGCTGCTGATGCTGGTGGTGCTCTCGTACTTCATCTTCTTGTCCCTGATCTTGCTGCTGTTGATCGTGGGGAAAGACCAGGGATGGTGTGCGTCCCACACCTGCAAGCCGTGATTGCTGCTGCTGCTGCTGCCTCTGCTGCTGCCTGTGTTCCTGTAGCGTCGCAGGTCTGTCTGTGCTGACAGAGGGATGACGCTGCGAGCGAAGACGTGAGAGAACTGGTGCGTGTGCATGTGTGCTGGCGGCTGTGTTGCGCCCAAGCGAGAGCACGCTTGCAGCCAGTGACGACGTGGACACTGAACTCCGACGGTAGCGCTGCTGATCTGCAGCGGCGGCGGCGGCTGTTGGCGCCATTGGCGACGCTGTGGATGTGGTGGATGTGGTGGACGACACCGTGTTGGTGCGGGAGCGAGGGCGCCCGTCTTGGTCGTCACCGGCGCTCAAGTGCACATAGAAGATGAACACGTCGCCAAGCACCGTCTTGCGCAGGTCTGGGAAGCAGTGGCGCAGGAAGAAGAACGTGTTGTGCTCCAAATGCGGGTGTGTCAGTGGAGGGAGGACTGCGTGCTCGCTGTCCTCCAAGTCCTGCCTGTGGGCAAGGACCAGTTCTTCACCAGGCGCCAGATCAACGCCACGCATCTCGCAGTATTTGTCAACGATGTCCACAACCTGGTCCGTTTCAGACACGCGCACAAAGGACAGCATGGTTGGCTGGGCGGCGCTGCTTGTCTCGCATGCGTGCACAGCCTCGTCCTCCTCATACATTCCAACGTGGATAAACACGTTCGCATGCAACAGCGGATCAGACTGGCTGTCCACGGCGTCCTTGATGTCGCACGTGAGCGTCCCACTCGGCGAATGCGACGCACCACCTGCACAGCATTGATGGCAAACATGTGGTGTGAGCACTGACTGCACAACACACGCACGCCCCGACGAGCACAGGTTCATGCAGCACGACGCACAACACACGCACACGTTCACGAGCAACACAAAGCGCAAGCACACACACGTTCACATGCAATGCGCACGCACACATTCACACAAAGCCAGAAACAACCACCACACGCACCTCGCTTCGACTTTTGGAGGCTGTTTGTCTTGCGTTCGGCCTGCAGGTCCAACAGCCTGCCGAATGTGGAGGAGCGATGGCGTGGACGACGGGTGGACGCGGCGTCCTGAATGTGAACGATGAGCGTTGGTGGAAGGCTGTTTGCGCTCGCCATCTGTGTGCCAGGCAGCGTAAAGCTCGCACACACATCTTCCTTGCTGTTGCTGCTGCTGGTGCTGCTTCCCACTGATCGCGTTGATCCCTGGGTGCTGTGCGGTGTGACTGAATCGGATGGCTTTCTGGTGTTTCGTCCACTCGCCACCCCACTCCGCCCATCATCACAGCCGCCACAATCACCGCTGCTGCGAGTGACACCGCCGGTTTGCGTGAGCGAGAGGGTGGATGACCAGGCTGACACACCAGAGCGACCAGAGGCAGCAGATGCCGGGCGTGTTGACATCAATGGTGCCGCAATTGTCGCTGTTGATGTCGATGATGTTGACAACAGCGATGCCTGCGTGCCCTGTTGCTTCTGCTGCAGCTGCGACGAGGATTGTTTGTTGCGGGTAAACACACGCCTGGCCCGTCCAGCCATTGCCTTGAGTGACGGCGACGTCAGTCTGTGGCCACCGTGCTTCACATGCTCGTGGCTCGCCCTTCCAGCAACAGCGCTGCTGTTTGACCCGCGCACACTGCGCGCATCGGCTTTGGGGCCACACTCCCCGTGCTGCGTGTTGTTGTTGCTGTCCCGGCGACTGTCACACATGCTGTCGCTTCTGCTCGGCGTGTCGTCGCTCGCTGATGTTTGTGATGAGCGCGCTGTGCCTGCATCTGCCGTTGGTGTCTGCGCGGCGACAGTCGGCGGGGTAGATGACGGTCTTGCACCACCGTTAGTGCCGGTGTCATCGTCATTCAGCAAGGAGGACAGGATTGACGTTTGCGAGGCAAACGATGAAAGGACAGCCGAAGGACCTGCCCCATGCGAGTGGGAGCCGCGCCGCCGTGACGCGCGCATGGATGAAGCTCCTGTACCGCTTCGATGACGCCGCCCAATGCTCTTGCTGCGCGAGCGTGTGTGGCTGCTGCTGCGGCTGCGTGTGCGGCGGAGGCTGTGATGGCGTGAACGCTGTGCAGAGCGCTCCCGTCGTGGGTGAGGGGTGTGCGCGTGTGTGAGCTCGCTGTGCTTGTCGCAGCAGCTGTTGTCAGGGTCATCGTCGTGGTGGCACGTGTTGCTGTATGGGCTTAGGCTGTTGCCGCTCGCGCGGCTGGCCGTGCTGTTGACTCGCCCCCGATCAGTGCCTGCAGCCACCTCGCCGCTGTCCACATCATCAACAGTGAAGCTTGCATCAAAGTGCACGTGAATGTCGTCACTCTGATGTTGGTGCGCATCATCATCATCATCATCATCATCGTTGTTTCTGTTGTTGCTGTTGTTGTCGTTCTGCGTCGCCGTTGCTGCGTCGTCGGCAGTTGACACGACAAGGCGTGGGCCCCTGCTTCCAACATCAGGAGACTGCCGCGTTGTTGCGTCACGTCCACCAACGTCAGCGACATCATTGTTGTGATGACCACCACCGCACGCGGAACACACAACGCCACCACACGACCCACAGACAACTGCATCAGCACCAATGTTGTCGTCGTCGTCGTCATCGTCGTCGTGGTGATGGGTGCTTGTTGTGCTCGTGCCCTTTGCCGTAATGTCTGTGCTCTCTTTGCGCCTGCGGCGGAGGCGAGGCGAAAAAAACCGCCGCTTTCGCTCCGTTTGGGGACTTGCACTCGGGTCACGCGATCGGTTGCGTCCGGCAGACTTTGACCTTCCCTTTTTGGAAAGTGCTGTCAACGAAGGCTCACGCCCCTTGCGAGTGGCAGCTGCATCGGCGCCGCTGCTGGCGTCGTTGATGCCGTCGCCATGTGCTGCGTTGTGCTTGTCGCGTGCGTTCTTGTCCACACATGGACACTCGCACGTGCAGATTCGCACACCAGCACCATGGTGACACAGGGAGCGTTGTGCAGTGCATTGGCTGGTGGCGTTGGTGCTGCCGCTGGTGTGGCATTTGGGGTTGCACGGATTTGCAGTGTCGGGCGCAGTGGTGGGGGTGGTAGCTGCTGGCTGCTGTTGTGCAGGGCGCCGCACACTCACACCTTTGGCGAGTTTGCCGTGCTTGAAGGCGAGGAACGACGGGTTGAGCGCGCCCGGTGGTGCGAGACTGATTTTCCTATACCCTGTTCGAAGCGTTACCACAGGTAGCCATGCTTCGAAGAGCGGATGGTCGACGGCGTCGGCATCGCTCGTGTCACTGCCACCGCATGCAGCTGTTGTGTTCGTTGCGCAACCAGTGGTGGTGTCGGTGTTGGTCCCGGTATTGCTGTTGCCGGTGTTGGAGGTGTTGTTGGTGCTGGCGTTGTTGTTGCCGGTATTGGTGTTGGTGTTGCCGCTGCCACGCCTGCCACCTGATGAAAATCGTGGCTCAATCCACACGTGCAGCATCTGCAACTCCGGCAGCGTGCACCTCAAGTGTTGAAGGAGGAGATGACCAAGGAGAACAGGAATGAGATGGTGCGGAGAGGTGGGAAGAAGACGAGAAGAACAAGATGGAACTATGACACCCGTGTGCGTGTATGTAATATGTGTGTGTGTCTGTGTGTGTGTCTGTGTTGTGCAGAGATCACATGATAGCCGCTTACTTGATGACGAATGTTTCCATCCAGAGAGCGGATCCTTTGCAGTTGGCGTTTTCGCGCACGTTCGACGTTGTAAACTCTTCAGTACCGGTTGTCGAATGCATTTCAATGTGAACGGTGTAGTGGGTGCCGGGTGGAAGGTTCAACCCAGACACCACAGTGAACGTCAGCGTGCGCTCAAATTTCGCGGGAAACAGCGACCGTTCCATCAACCTGAAGGAAAAGACAGACAGAACATGGGCATTAGGGTGGAGGAAGAGAAGGGTGAAGAAGGTGTGGGTAAATGTATGCGTGTGCGCGTGTGCGTGTGTGTGTCAATGTATGCGTGCGTGCGTGTGCGTGCATGCGTGCGTGTGTGTGTGCTGGATGCCTGATAAGACGCAATGATATGTTTGGTTGAGAGTGCACATGACATGGTGTGGCATGCATGCATGGTTGCGCTGCGTATTCGCCCTCATCATCACAGTGTCCAGCCATTGCACGTACAGTTCTGGGTCGCGCATGAACTTTGGCTTGAGGACATATCCACAGCCGCCGTTCAAGTGCTGGAAAAATGCGTTGTACAGCAGCATGTTCGTGTCGGGCGTCTGCCAGTTCGGTGACACTGTGTTGTGTGTTGTGTTTGTGAGTCAGTGAGTGAGTTAGTGAGCGTGTGTGTGTGTGTGTGTGTGTGTGTGTGTGTGTGTGTGTGATTGTGTGTGATTGTGTGTGAGGCAGTGTGCAAGTGTGCGAGCACGAAGAACGGAAGAATGAAAAGTGTTTATGCATGTGCACACACGTGTGCAAGCATGGACAATGCCGTACCAAGTTGGCATCCCGCGCTCCAAAATGGAAGAGGATTGAAATTGGACGAGTCGATGCTACAAGAAAAACAAAAAGAACAGGGGCAGAATGCATTGGCGAGTGAGAGAGGATACTCGGAAGGTGTACGTGTATGTGCTTGCTTTCTTGCATGCATGCAACGTGAAGGCCGGAACATACACGTACAAACACAAACACACACACCCATACACGTACGCGCGTCAGACACACGCGCAACATACCGCCTTCCATGTGGGTAGACGCGCGTGAGCTTGTAGATGTTGTGTTCCGTCAACTTTTGCCGCCGTTTGTTCACAAGACGCAGCGCAGCGCTCTCTGTAGTGGTGAGAATGTGTGCATGTGTTTTGGGGGTGGGAGAATGTGAATGAACATGGACGTGTGTGAGCCATGGTTAATGAAGAAAGAGAGAGAGAGAGAGAGAGAGAGAGAGAGAGAGAGTGTGTGTGTGTGTGTGTGTGTGTGTGTGTGTGTGTGTGTGTGTGTGTGTGACAGAGATCACAGCGACTGCACCAACACACCCGGCAACACGTACAGCAGTGGCATACAGCACACGCAGCGACAGAACCAAACGCACCATTGAAGCTTGACATTTCGTATGCAAACACGGGCGCATGCACGCTGTCGTCGTCATCATCATCATCACTGTCGCCATCACCACCATCGCCAGCGTCGCGGCGACGGTGTTTGGAGATGGCATCACGTTCAAGCGCCTTTGACGCAAAGCGCGTAAACTTCACCGCGCGCGTGTAGATGACGAGATCTGACATGCTCTGTGCAACCACGGGCTGTTTGTGCCCATAGAACTGGAGTTCTTCAATCGTCTGATAGCGGGCGATGTGCTGTGCACGCTCCAACCGCCGCGCCAGTCGCCGCTGTGCTGTTTCCTGTGCAAGTGTGTGTGTGTGTGTGTGTGTGTGTGTGTGTGTGTGTGTGTGTGTGTGTGTGTGTGTGTGTGTGTGTGTGTGTGTGTGTGTGGTCGGGGGGGGGGGTTAACGGGTGTGCGAATATGTGTGTGTGAACAGGGGTGTTTGCATGTGTATGTGTGCGTGGGCAGGCTTCGCAGTTCAGCAACAGCCATCACACACAAACACAATATCACACACAAACACAATATCACACACAACACACACACACAACACAACACACACACACACACACATAAATGCAACACGATCAAGCCCTGACCGGTTCGAGAACGCCAGAGGATGGCTCTTCGCTGATTTCATCTTCGTCAAAGTTGGGAGCAGCTCCGTTGCAGTTTGCACAGCTGCCGGCACCATGCGAGCATCGTGTTGATGGTGGTGATGGTCCGTTGTACAATCCAATGCCAGTCGCAGACACGTGACTGGAACGCTGCTGCTGTGGTGGTGATTGCAACGGCGTGTCAGCATCGCTGGATGGATAACGCCCACGCCCTGGCCGCTGATGCTGTAGATGCTTTTCGTATCGCATGAGCCTGCCACCCTCCGACCTTCGCCCCCCTTCGCTCGTGCGTGGTCGCCGATGTGCAGATGCGCTTCTGCTGCGCGCGTGTGTTGATGGGATCACAGATCGTGAGCGCGTGTGCCCATTCGTTGTCGTCTCATCGCCGTCATCAGCCTGTGCTGGACTGTCACGTCTGGTACGTGCGACAGAGCGAAAGTGTGAATGAAGGTGTGTGTGTGTGTGTGTGAGAGAGAGAAAGAGAGAAAGAAAATGTGTGTGCGAGGAAGCGAACCACCTATCTGTGTTCTGTCCATCATAAATGTAACAACAACCCGCCCAAAGCACCAACACCAACCATACACACACAAACAGCCATTGCCATGAGTGATTTGCGCTCACCTGAAGCGAGCTGTGACTGCGAGATATTGATCGACATCGTCCAGCGACGCAACGGGGAAATGATTCGAGCGTCTGTCATTCTTGTCATTGCCACCACCATCACCATCTTCGTCGTCGTCACTGTCACAATAGAGATCACGTTGGTGGTGGCTGCGATGCTGTGTGGGCACACGTGTCGTTTCATCTTCCTCCTGCACTGCTGTGAGCGCAGAGTCTCGCGAACGAAACTGGGGGGAGATGCTTGTTGGCGGCGTTGCTGTCGAGTAAAACACACATGCCAGGCGTTGTACGAAACAGAGAGAGAGGGGGAGAGAAGAGCGAAGCACGTGAGGGTGAGTGAGGTACATTCGTGTGTGTCTGTGTGTGTCTGTGTGTGTGTGTGTGTGCGCGCGTGCAGTTGCTGAGATGGAAGCAATTTGTCTGGCACTGGCTGGTCTTGAGAAACACAATCAAGTACAAGAAGAAATCGTGCATCACGTGTATCACACACACAGACCACGCAAGCACTAGAGCACTCACTTGGCCTGGCACTCATGTGTGCAGTTGAAGTCGAGAACGAAAACACATCGGAGTCCTCCCGTGATTGCGACAACTTGCGCCTGTGTGTGTGTGTGTGTGTGTGTGTGTGTGTGTGTGTGTGTGTGTGTGTGTGTGTGTGTGTGTGTGTGTGTGTGTGTGTGTGTGTGTGTGTGAATGTTGATGTAGAAGTGAGCGAATGGCTGCATCACATCAACAGCCCTCTTCCCCATCCCATCCCACCTCATTCCGTTACACCACACCACCACTGCCACCACCACTCACCGCGCGCGTGCAAGGCGACGGGGCGATGATCCAGCCGACTTTGATCGCACTTCAGTTGGCGAGCTGCTGCTGTGTCGCCGCCGCTGCTGCTGCTGGTGTTGATGTGAGGGTTCTGGTTGGTGCGATGGCTGTTGCTGTGTTTGCTGGTCATCGTCGTATTGGTGGCTGCTGTGGAGTGGTGGGGTTGTGGGTCGCGACGACACGAGAACACACGCGTCCATCTCGTTTGGGCTCTCGTCCTGCTCATACACCGTCGCAGCTCCCTCGCCACAGCCATCTTGCATTGTAGTCGATGCCACTGATGCCTCGTCCTCATCTTCGTCCTCGGCGATGTGGGGCATGCGCATGACATACCCAGCGCCACTGCCACCCAGCGCACCAGTGCGGCTGCCGTTGCTGCTGCTCAGCGATCGATCCCCGCGCTTCGGAAGGGCCTGCAGTGAACGTGAGGAGGAGGAGGAGGGAGTACATTGTTGCATGTACGTGAGTGAGAGCGAGAGAGAGAGAGAGAGAGAGAGAGTGTGTGTGTGTGTGTGTGTGTGTGTGTGTGTGTGTGTGTGTGTGTGTGTGTGTGTGTGTGCGTGCATGCATCTGAAGAGGGATTCTCACCAAACCACGTGCACATACGTAACCACCACATCACAACTACAACCATCAATCACAATCACCACCCACCCCCACCCCTTTAATCACCATCGCCATCATCGCCGTCACCACCATGCATGTACCGCGGGAATGAGGGAGCGAGAGCGGTTGCGACCCGGTCGCGGATGATGCGCCATCGGCCCTCCAAACATCGCCGATCGACTTCGCTGTCGCCCATTCCTCCCTCTGCCACCATCACCGTCGTCACCAGTACCACTGCCATGTTGGTGGTGGTGGTGGCTGTTGGTGACGGAGTGTGAGTAGCCACTGTAACCGCTGAATCGGCCAGCTGTGCTGATGCTGTCACGATGTGAGCTCATAACGATGGACGACACACAGCTCTCATCACGGGAGCAAGGTAACGCGTGCTCGCGTGCCATGATCATCTCACTCAAGTTCACATGTCCACCATCATCGCCATGGCCATCACCATCATGATGATTGTCGTCGTCGTCACCATCGTCGTTGTCGCTCGCACCGCTGCCAACAGCCATGCGAGCGCGGTGTGTGCTCCTCCTCTTGCGGTTTCTGGCCTGTCTGCCATGGCCACTGCTGCTGTTCTTGCTGTTGGTGGTGGTGCAGGTGAGTGCTGCCAGGTCGTCGTCATCGTAGCTGACACGGATGCCACCGCTTGCCGTTGCTGGCCGCTGCATGTTTCCATATGAAGTGCGACAGTGCTCATACTGCTCGTGATGCAACTGCTGTGCTGACGCAACATGGGGCAGTGGCTCCAATCGATCCTCGGTCTCCATGTCACCTCGACCTTGTTCACCTTCTCCTACATCAGAAAGTCGAGCTCCTGGCGCTTGTGACGATGATGAAGGTGGTGGTGGTGGCTGTTGTTGTTTCTGTTGCTGCTGTTGATGTTGTTGGTCTGTCGCGGTCGCATTCTGAACGCGTGCACGCCAACGGTTGCTGATCTTCAACACAGCGGCGCCATTCGATTGCGCAAGTGCTGTGCATGTGTGTGTGTGTGTGTGTGTGTGTGCGTGTGTGTGTGTGTGTATGTGTGTGTGTGTGTGTGTGTGTGTGTGTGGTACGGGTGAGATATGTATGTGGTGTATGTGTGGATGTGTATGTGTGCGTAGATCGCGCGCGTGAAAAGCAAAGGAAAAACATGCGTGTGGGTGGGGGAGGGTGGATTATGCTATGGATACAGCAGCATAGAAAACATCGGAAGGTCGTGGGTATGCACGCGCGCGTGTGTACCTTGCAAGTCGCTCGAAAGAACGTCGTGCTGACTTGGCTGACGATCAGCACTCTCATGTGGCAATGAAGGCTCTGTTGCAGTGTTGTCGGGGTGGAATGGAGTTGCAGGCATGCAAACGGTGGCAGACGTTGATGATAAGGGTGCAGACGGCGAGAATAGTAGACACAGTCTGCAGCAGCAACACGCACACGCACACGCACACGCACACGCGCACGCAAACAGGCATGCACCCGCTTATACAGCTACATATCACTCACGGTGGTGGGTAGGGGAAGTGGTTTCAGCACGAAGAGTGGATGATTTGTCCGGTTTTCCATCCTTGGGGCGAAACGCGCGCTGATGGGCACGACGCACTTCCGGCGGCACAGACTAGTGGTGGTGGCGGTGACGATGATGTGTATGTATGTATGTATGTGTGTGTATGTGTGTATGTATGTATGTATGTGTGTGTGTGTGTGTTTGAATAAGAAGGGCAACACAACAAGTGCAGGCATGCAAAACACATCTCTGTGCAAATGCATGTACAACTCGACACCACGAGCACCTCTGATCGTCGTTCCCTGCAGGCCTGACGTGCAATGTCTTCCTCTTCATCGTCAAGACCATCTGTATTGTGGTGGCAGTGGTGGAGATGGTGGAGGTGATGAAGATGATACTGGCGTGCGCAAACACGCGGACACATGTACACATGACAACACATCACATAGACACATGCACAGACACGCGCACACAGACACACACGTACACTCAACTTACCGTCGGATGCTGTGCGAAGGGCACGGAGACGCAACAAAGAGTCTCTATCCTTTGCGCTCACGCCGAGTTTCTTGTGCTTGATGAGGATTTTGCCTCTGAGGGCCTGTGGTGACGGCAGTTCATCCTTGTCGTGTCCAGGCAGCATCTGCGTCAACAACTTGTCGCCAAACACTTCCACAAAGTACCGTGCCATCTTCTCTTGCTGCAGTAGTGGTGTGTTGGGGGGGGGGGCAAAACGTGATGGTGGTTGTGATGATGGGTGGGTGGGGATGAGTGAGGGCATTTAAGTGTGACAAGCACGCTTATTTGCATTGTTCTTCTTTCAACACAGAATCCCTCGAAAATGAGCACACAACACAAGCACCACACACGGCATCGAGAGAAACAAGCACACGGCACCTGCTTGATGCTGCAGTGGTCTTCGAGGGAGAGGATGAGCGGATAATCCGAGCTGACAAATGCATAATCGTTGATGGCCCGCACCACAGACGCGAACTTGATGCGCGATGTGAATGCAAACGCTCCGTTGAACGGCAGCCTGTTATCGTGCACAGTTGCACAGGCAAGCGAGGTATGTGTGTGTGTGTATGTGTGTGTATGTGTGTATGTGTGTGTGTGTGTATGTGTGTATGTGTGTGTGTGTGTGTTAGGGAGTGGGTGAGCGGGGGAGAGAATGAGTAAATACACATGGGTGAGGCTTGAGCGTACAGGTTGGCATCGCAGTATTGAATCTGAAACTGTACTCCCAAACCTTCAAGCACACGCTCGCGCACATACGCAGGCACACAGTCTTCACAGTCTTCACAGTCTTCACACCAATGTCGGAAAAGTAAGACCAAGGTGCGTTCGCGTGGACAAATCATCGCGACTTACGCTGCGGCGTGCGTGATATCTGGTTCGCCATCATCGCCATCCCAGCAGTCCAACTCGACGGACCGGCAGGCGCGCAGCAGGCACTGCACATACATCTCCACGGACGACTCACAGCCTTTCTGGCGCTCGCTCACGTATGTGTTGTGGGAGGAAGAGGCAAAGTAGTGCGAGAGCGGCTGCGTCATATCTTGGCACACGTGGCGGTGGGCCGGATCAAGGGCGCTCCCGTGCTCGTCGCTCAGCAGATACGCAACGAACCTGAAGATTGGGAGAAGTTCGGGGAAATGTTGAGATGGGAAGGATTGGAAGGCGGTGAGTTGTGGCTGCAGTGAGCATTCTTTTGCACACGCTCACGTGTGCGTGTGTGAACAATGAAATCGAACAACACCCGCGATGGTGGCGTGCGAACGAATGTTTCCATGACATACGCACGCGATAACGTGTCCTTATTTCCAACATACCCTGCTAGTGAGAGCCGGTGGTGGTGTCGCAATGTTGGTGATGGTTCATATTGGTCCACAATCTTCCATCGCTCCTCCTTGGATGGCTCCTCCTCTTGCTCGCAATGGAGGAACAAATCAAACGCGTCATCCGTCATCCTAACACATGGACGTGCGCGTTTGTGGGTGATGGGTGAGATGTGTTTGTGTGCGTGTGTGTGTGTGTGTGTGTGTGTGATGGGTGTGATGTGTTTGTGTGTGTGTGATGGGTGTGTGTGTGTGTGTGTGTGGCAGGGCGAAGGTGTGAGTAGACGAGTGTGCATGTCTGTAATCGACCGTAAGCCATCACAACCGTCGTCGCTGTCGTGACTCGCATGTGCTTGTGCTTGCAGGCAAAAGAGCATGCGTCAACCACCAACCACCAACAACTTACGCTTGATAAACGCTGCCTGTGTATTTGACGAACACATCTGCAAGTTCCGGATGCATCACAGCCACGTGCGCGTAATAGACTGCGCTCGCATGCACCAGCGTGTCCTAGATGGGTGGAAATATAGAGCAGTGTGTGTGTGAGTGTGAGTGTGTGTGTGTGAGTGTGAGTGTGAGTGTGTGTGTGAGTATGGGTGTGTGAGTGTGAGTGCGCAGCATGTACTGCAGTGCGAAGACACTGACGCCTTCTCTCGTCAACGTCGACAACCACTATTCTCATCACGCACATAAGCACATCACATCAAAAGCCATGACATGTACACATTCTAGTCTTACTGGCGTGTCAGTGTCTGTCAAGGACAGGAATTCGCGCACACGCAATTGCGTTGCAGCCAATGTGGAGACGCAGCTATAGCCACGGAGACAGGACAAAACCACCAGAGGGAGCGACGTGTGATGGTGTGAGGTGAGGACTCGTGGAACCGCAGATGTGTCAGGGGTATGATACCGCCTTCAAAGGGAGAAGAAAAAGGCCATCTTTGCTGCATCAACAAGGGTCAGGATGCGTTGTGCACACACGCGCGCGCACACATGCATGCACACATTTGTACACGTTCTTCATTCACACATGTATGCAAACACGTGCGCACCTGTGGTCCACTGGCATTGCGTTCACACCGCGCGCCAGCTTGGCAAGAAGTGTAGTGTCTGAGAGTGGCTGATTGCCTGCATGCAACGCGACAAACAGCCGCTGCAGCCGCACTGCAAAACTATCAAAACGCGGCTTCATTGAAATGCGAAGCAGCGCCCTGAGTCCTCCCACCCATGCTTGCACCGCTGTTGCATCTAGGCCTCTGAGGTTCAGAAATGACCAGTCCATCCAGTGGTGCCAAAACACTGCGGTGTGTGCGTGTGCGTGTGTGCGTGTGTGCGTGTGTGTGTGTGTGTGTGTGTGTGTGTGTGTGTGTGTGTGTGTGCGTGTGTGAGTGTGTGTGTATGTGTGTGTGTGTGTGTAAGTGTGTGTGTAAGTGTGTGGGTGTGTGTGTGTGTGTGTGTGTGTGTGTGTAGTGTGTGTGTAGTGTGTGGTGTGTGTGTGTGTGTGTGTGTGTGTGTAAGTGTGTGTGTGTGTGTGATTGTGTGTGTGTGAGTGCACGCGTATGTGTCGTGCCATTGCATGTTCGTAAGCATAGGGAACGCATGCATAGCGTACATGTGCTTGCTCGCAACCAGTCATACCAATGCAGAATGCGTCGTGAACTGGCACGACTTCGCCGTGTTTCGCTTTGAGATCGTTGCCTGCAGGCATGAGTCCCCATCTGGCATCACAGATGCTCTCGATCTCGATGCGCACACGTGGCGTGCCATTGCGAAAGATGACAATGCGGTCATACTGCGACGACAACTGTGGTGTGTATGTGCGTGTGCGTTGTGTGTGGAAAGAGTAGCGTGAGGCAGGTGAGGTGTTGGTAATGGCGTGTGTGTGTGTGTGTCTGTGTCTGTGTGTGTGTCTGTGTATTCCACCTGCTTTTGGTTTCACTGCAATGACATGTGTACATACGCGACTGAGAACCATGCAGCGAATACTCGCGTGTGCTCACCTGAAGTGTGACGCGGACAATTGCACTCTTCTCACGCACACTGAAGAAATCAGTGCCCCTGTCGTGTTGAATGGTGGTGGTTGAGACACGTGTGAATGAGTGCGGAGTGTGCACGTGACGGGAGAGTGCATATCAGCGGGAACAGAATCAGCGAGTGCGCAGAAACAGCTGTGCTTCTAGCATGAATTGTACGATGGTACGATGCATGCAAGCAAACCACCATGCATGCTTGCAAGCAAAAAGCATACTTGGTCATGATGGCCAGGGCATCTTCAAGGTGAAGGTCTTGTTGGTGCTCGTGAGCGGCGTGCATTGACACAGCGCCCTCTACTTCGACTGTTTGGAACGTGTCCACGGGATGCCTTGCTTCGGCTTGCGTCTGCCAGATCAAAATCCACCCAACGACGGTTCGTGCACGTATTGAATCAAGGATGTGATCTCGCCCAAGCACACACGCACACACATGCATACACACATTCACACATTCACATACACACACATATACATACACAAGCACACACACACATGTATACACACATACACACATACACACATACGTGTGTACGCACCAGGGAGAAGACGGGGGCGAGTGTCGTGATCTCGTCATATCGAAGGGCCGTGGTGTACGGCCGTCTTCTTCGCTCCATGACTGGGGATGACTGTTTGCTTGCGGTCGCTGCGGGTTGCAAGCCGTGCCGAGAACGGGACGAGGGAAGGGAATGAAAGTGTGAGTGAACAGTTGTGTCAATGTAAGACTTGCGACATCAAGCACGCACACACAAGGGATATACACATATACAAACACACAAAACACACACGCAAGCAGAGATACACACACTCACTCACACACACACACACACACACACACACACACACACACACACACACACACACACACACACACACACACACACACACACACAGGGAGAGAGGGAGAGAGAGAGAGAGAGAGAGAGAGAGAGAGAGAGAGAGAAACGTACGTGATTGAACCTGTGTCGTCCCAGCTGGGGACGACAGCATGGTGGCAATCCCTTTCTCTTCCTCTTCTCAGCACACGTGGTGTAAGGATTGTGCCGGGTGTGTTGAATGGACCTCTCCGCTGTGTTGGTGTCTGTTGTGTGAAGCCGCAGTCAAGGTCATGCAGAAAGATAAATGAGGAAATAAGTCGAGCGACTTGTGTGTGCACCCGGTGTACGTCGTGTGTTGTGCTTCTTGAGACATGGGGGTTTGTCGGCCAAAGGAACCGTGCCTTCTTTTTGCGCTGCATCCAAACCTCGCAGCCAAACATACAAAGGCACACACATGCACACATGCAGAAAAGCGGTGCGTGGCTTGTGCATGTGCCACTCGCGCCCATGCTATGGCCCAACAAGCAGCATGCATGCCACGACGCCGCACCTTTGTGGGTTTTGAAAGTTGCTGCTGTCGCAGTGTTGTTGTCAAACTGTGACAGCAAAACACACACACACACATGCAAGGGTTGCCGGTGTGGTCGTGTGTGGTGGTGGGAAGCAAGGCACACGTATGCAAGCCGTGAGTATTCGAACACAGGAGGTCAGCAACATGCAAACAACGCAACAAAGACGATTGTCACGGAGCTACCCCATCCAAGCTGCTCAAGTGACAGAACCGAACAAACATCAACCAACCAACCAACCAACCAATCAACCAGCCATATGAATCTTGCAGATAGGGGACCAACCTTCTCGTCACTGCTGATTGGTGGGGTGGAGGTGATGAGGAGGATGCTCCTCAAACTCAACCAGCAAGCAAGAAGCAGGCAAGAGAGAGCAAGGGAGCGATTGAGGGAGCGAGAGCGAGTCTGTTCGGGGTTGTTGGTTCTGCGTGTTGTTGGTTCGGTCGGTTGGACGTGCATGCATGTGTGTGCGCGATCGGCCTGTCTGCCTTGATTGCGTCTTTGTTCGCTCGGGTTGTCACAGTCAAATTCGTCAGCCGTGTGGGTGTGTGAGGCGTGCTTCACACACTCCCTCTGCAACGACAAGCAGCCAACCTGCTGTCGTTGTTGATCTGGGGTGGCTGCACACTCGCCAAACAAAACGAGAAACCAGGCACAGAAAAAACCCAACCCTGTTAAACGCCTTCATCGCCACCTGCGACGCCTCGAACAAGTGCGATTGTATGCCGATTCGTCAGGCAGAACGCAACCACAAAGTCCTTCCCACCTCGTGCAAATGTGGTAAAAAAGATTTTGCCTTTGTTGACGGTTGTTGGTAAAACAAAAGTCTGCGAAGGACGTTGTGAACGAACAGGAAGCAAAAGAGCGGAAGTGGAGATGGCTGCGTTGGCTGTGAGGCGGATGGACGCCACGGTTGGCAGTGTCATCGCCGTCGCCATTATGCTGTGGTGAGTGCGTGTGAGTGAGAGAAAGAGAGCGAGAGAGTGTGTGTGTGAGTGAGTGAGTGAGTGTGTGTGTGTGTGTGTGTGTGTGTGTGTGTGTGTGCGTGCGTGCGTGTCGTGTGTGTGTGTGTGTTGTGTGTGTGTGTGTGTGTGTTTGTGTGTGTGTGTGTGTGTGTGTGCGGGTGTGTGTTCTTTTGTGTGGGTGTGTGGGTTAGCCTGTGTGTGTCTGTTGCTGACCCTCCATTCCGCGCGCACACACACGCACACACACACACTCACACACGTGCGCGCATAAAATCAATTTGCAGGCTGATGCTGTCGCTGCGACCAGCAGTGCGGCCTGCACAATCCATGGACGACATTGCGGTGGACATGCACTGTCACACCACGGAGTCTGATGGAGATCGCACAGCAGAGGAGCAGCTCAAGGTCGGTCGCAACGAAAGGAGAACAGAAGAAAAAGAAGGAAGAGGCGGAGTAGGAGTAGGAGGAGGAGGAGGAGGAGGAGGAGGAGGAGGGAGGAGGAGAACGACCATACGTACGCACCCGTGTATTTGCATCCACACACACACACACACACACACACACACACACACACGCACGCACGCACATTCATGCACGCACGCGCACACGCACACACACGCACACACACACACACACACGCACGCACATTCACGCACGTACGCGCACACGCACACACACGCACCACCCCACCCCAAATATCAACGAACAGGAGGCTGCACGCATTGGGCTGGATGCGCTGTGGATCACAGACCACGATATGATCCGGGACTTGCCACGCACACGGGAGATTCAGAAGGCGGCAAAGAAGGCCGGCGTTGGTGTTGGGTTTGGCGTTGAGATCACGGTTGAGTGGGAGAAGAAGGAACACCACCTCCTCGGCTATTTCCCAGACTCCGCCTGGAGTGCACGCCAGCTCTCCCCCGAGATGGTCACGTTGCAGCGCGAATGTGCCAAGGTCCGCATTCATGCATCCTTGTGCATGCGACTGTGTATGTGTGTGTATGTGTGTGCAGCAACATGTTGCTCTTCATTGCTCTTCATTGCTTCCCATTGCTGCCCATTGTTGCTCGTTGCTGTGACTTGACTTTGTCGTGCCGCTGATCGACTGCTTCTCTGCCACACTACCTGCACTGTACAGGTCAAGACGAGCCGTGAGACGCGCAACAACAACATGGTCTCCTTCCTCAACACGCTGCTGGCTTCGGACGCGGGCAAACCCTACTTCATATCCGCCGATCGCCACGCCGCCTTTAAACCCCTCGTCGTCAATGAGGTGCCTTGCGCGCGCATGACTCTGTGTGTGTGTGTGTGTGTGTGTGTGTGTGTGTGTGTGTGTGTGTGTGTGTGTGTGTGTGTGTGTGTGTGTGTGTGTGTGTGTGTGTGTGTTTGTTTGTTTGTCTGTATGTTCGCGCGCATGTTTGTGCGTGTGTATACATGTGTGTCTGTATGTGTATGTACATGTGTTCACTTGCCACCCCTCTCATTATTGCTGTCAGGTTGCCGAGTGGGCGAAAGAAAACGCCAACTTGATGGAGCCAACTTCTCTCGGCCGCCCACACTTCCGGTGTGTACGTGTGCCTCTGTGTGCGTGTGCCTCTGTGTGTGTGTGTGTGTGTGTGTGTGTGTGTGTGTGTGTGTGTGTGTGTGTGTGTGTGTGCGTGCGTGTGTGTGTTTGTGTGCACGCTCGCCCCCCTCTCTGTGGATGCCTTTCCTTGTCAATGCACCCTTGCAGTTGCACCACTCCAAACATTCCGTTCACGCTGCACACGTGTGTCCATCCACCAGTGCGTACCTGATTGAGGTGGTCGGCATCCGCGAAGATCTCATCTTTGGCCCACGCGCAGGCGATGGTGTTGCAACGGTACGTACACGCACACGCGCACACACGCGCACATGCAATGCGGTGTTGCGAATGTGATTGGTGCTGTGTACCTGTTGGGTGTGTGTATGTGTGTGTGTATGTGTGCGTGTGTATGTTTGCATGTGTGACCCTCTTTTTTATGTGTACGTGTGTGTGTGTGTTTGCATCCGTATGGCTGTTGCGCTGCAGCGTGTCGCTTGACATGTACATTCATTCATTCATTCACGTGTGCCTTCATGCCCTCTCCCCCTTCCTTTATCGCCACCAACCACCACCACCACCATCAATCATTGGTGCCGCCAGCTGACGGCAGATGGTGATGTGTTCTACGATGAGGATCGCGAGGGCAAAACCGGGGTTGAGCTGGAAGCCCTCATGCACTCCGCGGTACACACACGATGGATTGGTGTTGTTGTTGTTTAAGTTGTTGTTTAAGTTGTTGTTGTTGTTGTTGTTGTTGTTGTTGTTTAAGTTGTTGTTGTTTAAGTTGTTGTTGTTGTTGTTGTTGTTGTTGTTGTTTAAGTTGTTGTTGTTGCTGTTGCTGTTGTTGTTGTTGTTGTTGTTGTTGTTGTTGTTGTTGTTGCTGATTTGGTAGGGCCTTGCTATCACTCACAACATTCAACCCAATCACCGTCTGCATCACCATGCTCGCCATCACGACGACCATCGCCATGACCACTCACGATCACCGTCGCCTGCTCGTGTTCAGACCCTCGCCAAGCGCGACATTGCGTTCCGCCCGCTCCCAATCATCGACGCCATCAAACTCATCAACGCAGCAGGTGTGTCTGTTTGTCTACGTGCGTGTGTGTGTGTGTCTGTTTGCATGCGTCTGTGTGACTGTTTGCCTGTGTATGTGTGTGTGTCTGTGAAATGACTGTGCCATGTGTTGCTTTGCTCCCCACATTTCCCCCACACTCCCTCTTACCAACACACAATCACCCCTTCGTTCAGGTGGCCGCGCTGTGCTCGCCCATCCGCCCACGCTCGGCTCAAAGTGGAAAACCGTCTTCGTCGACAAGTACGATGCGACCTGGGTGTGGTGTGAATTGCGAGTATCAACATCTTACACACACACACACACTCACACACTCACTCACTCACTCACTCATTCACACACTCACTCACTCACTCACTCACTCACTCACTCACTCACTCATTCACTCACTCACTCACACACTCACACACTCACTCACTTACTCACTCACTCACACACACACACACACACACACACACTCACTCACTCACTCACTCACTCACTCACGCTCACTATTGCGCGCACAGGGTTGGCGACCTAGCAGCCGCCGGGCTGTGGGGCATTGAGGCGTTCAGTTCTGAGATTGATGAGGAGAATCACGCCATTATTGCCGGTCTCGCTCAGAAGTACAATCTCGTCATGACCGCTGGATCAGACAATCACGGCTCCCTCAAGGTGGCGTCTGTGTGTCTGTGTGCGTCTGTCTGTCTGTCTGTCTGTCTGTGTGTGCGTTTTCGCCCACCTTCCAGCTTATCGTCTTGTCTCAACTCTCCCCCCCCCACACACACACCCTCACATCCTCACACATACACGTGCACATACACCCACCAGATCTATGCGCACCTTGGCGAGGTGAAGCGGCACGGCACTGCCGCGTATGCTGAGCTTGAGTACTGGGCCCGCCACGGTCTCAGGGAAAGCGCTCGCCTGCAGAACGAGGAGCTTTAGGCTTTCAGTCCCCTCTGGTTCATACTTCATATGCATGTGTATGTGTGTGTGTGTGTGTGCGTGTGTGTGTGTGTATGTGTGTGTTGTTTGTGTGTGTGTGTGTGTGTATGTGAGTCACACATGAAATACACCTCGACTGGTCGACCACGTTTGGCAACGCCAAAAAGCACAAGGAATGTACGATGGATGGCACGTGCAGTAGGTGTGTTATTGCTGGGAGCATCAAACACATCCCCAACAGAAATTTGCGTCGCTGGGCAGCTGAGAGCGCGTGAGGGCGAGTAGACGACAAGAAGCAACTCCATAGCAGCAAGGAAGCAAAACGGCAACACTCGCGTCTTCACACGCCGATAACGGCTGGTGGCTTCGATCCGTCAACTCTGATCGCTGGGCGAAGCCGCTGGCGGCTGTGCTAGCTGAGGAAGGAAGGTCACAGTAGTATCACACATGACCTCGTCATCACAGCCAGCAATGCACATGGAACACGTCAGGGCATCGCCCTTTGTGCGTTTGCTTTTTTTTTTTTTTCTTGTTCTTGTGGGACGTTGTCATCACGTCACGTCACATCATGTCACACATCGTGTCACACATACACGTCGTCCACGCCATCGTCAACACCACGTCGAGGCGCTTTCATCTCCCCTTCCCCAAGCATTATGCATCTCTCTGATCGCTTCGTTCCGCCGTTGCATGTGTATGTAACACCGTGTATGGACTGACGACTGAGAACAACAAACTTGTGAAGATCACACAGAAATGAAGGAATGCAGCAAACACGCACACACACACTATGCTAACACGCTCTCGACCGCACACAAAAACCCGCCCCTGCGTTTCGTACACTGCCTGCACACACACACACACACACACACACACACACACACACACACACACACACACTATCTCACGCTGCCCCTTGTTTGGTGGCTGCCAAGTACGAGGTGGCCAGCAGGAAACCAACGAAACGGAACGCACAAGCAAACACACACAACAAACGCACAACAAGACGCGCAAAAGGACATCAACAGTCATCACAAACGCGCACGCGCTCTGATGAGCAAACACCCGCTGTCCTTTGTCCCACTCTGCTTTTGGGTCACCCACTGCGTGCCCTTTCCCTCGCACGCTTGTGCTCCCCTCTCAGCAAGATCACCTGCGCTGGGGGTGCCTGCGCGGGCTTGCGCTTCGCTCGCGTCGCTCATCACGCGGGACCGACCAGTACCTGCCACCACGGCCCTCACCCTGCAGTACGCTGGACGTTGACGACGATGGTAGTGGCGGTGGTGGTGGTGGTGGTGGCGGTGGGGACGCAGAACGAGAGCGGCGACGCAGGCGAAGGGGGCTGCCATAGTCGCGGCGGTACGCGTGCGCTCCAGGTGGTGGTGGTGGTGGTGGCGGTGGTGGCGGTGGGGCTGCATCATGCCTGTCGTCGGCCTTGCGCGGGCGAGCACCATCATCGCCAGTGGGATAGCGGTATGGGGGCGGCGAAAAGCGCCGGCGTTCCAGCCACTCCTCTCTCAGGTCCCAATCACGCGGGTCCCTGTCCCTGTCCCTGTCCCAGTCTCTCTCCCGCTCCCTGTCCAGCTCTGCATCTCTGCCGCGCCACCCGCCACCGCGCCTAAACCTGCTGGTAAAGCGACCGCGGCCACGGCCACGACCGCCCTCGCTGCCGCCACCGCCGCTGCCGCCGCTTGTGGCTGCTGGCGGCGGTGTTCTTCCCGGCGAGAGGGACGCTGCGCGGGCCGCTGGGGGCGGGCGGGCGTGTATGCCCTGCCGGCCGTCATCGCGCTGCGGGGACGCAGACGACGAGGGGATGGACGGCGCACGTGGCGGTGTTGCTGGCGGAGACGCACCGCGTCCAGCGGGGTGCCGTGGGTGGTGGTGGTGGGGGTGGGGGTGGTGGTGCGGAGGAGGGTACGGGTGGTGTGGTGGGTACGGGCGGCGGTAGGATGGCGGCGGTGGCCCGTACATGGGGTGGTGGTGCGGTGGCGGCCCTGCCGGTGGTGCTGGCCCTGGCGGGCCCGCCAGGCCTGGTGGTGGGGGGCCTTCTTCCCACCGTCGACCGTCATCGCGAAGCCCTGGCGGTGGCGGCGGCGCGCGCCCATACCGCCGCATGTCTCTCCTGTCCCGGTCCCACTCCCGATCGCGTTCCCTATCGCTGTCCCTGTCTCTGTCTCGGTCCCAGTCGCGCGGGTCACGCATCAAATCACGTCCCCTTTCACGGTCACGGTCACGATCACGATCACGATCCCAGCCTGGTCGGTCGTGCATGCGCTCCCAGCCGCCGACACCGCCGCGATCGCCCCAGTCCCGCTCACGCCCACGGTCCCGCAGATCCCATTCGCGCTCGCGTTCACGCTCACGGTCTCTTTCGTATGGCAGAGGTGGTCCCCCTGGTGGCGGTGGTCCCGGTGGCGGCGGTGGGCCAGAATCGCGTCCCCACATGTGGTCACGACCACCATAACGGTCGCGGTCACGGTCACGATCACGGTCACGATCACGTGGCCAGGTGCCGGCCGCCGGGTGCGGTGGTGGCGGCGGAGATGACGACGACGATGGTGGGCCATTCGTGTCACCAAGCCGACTCCACAGGCGACGGTCATACCCACGGTCACGGTCGCGGTCACGGTCGCGGTCCTTGTCTCTGTCCCTGTCCCGGGGCCAGTCCCGATCACCACCAGGGCGAGCTGCGGAAGACGCAGAAGTCGTCGAAGTGGACGCAGAGGCCGGTGGCGGCATGCGGCTGCCGCGCTCACGCTCACGCTCACGATCGCGTCCAGGCTCCAAGTCGCGCATGCTGCGTTCTCTGTCCCTGTCACCACGGTCCCGCTCTCGGTCAAGCGGTACCTGGTCTCCATCCCTGTCCCTGCTCCTGTCATGAGGTGGCGGCGGTGGCGGCGGTGGAGACATGTTTCTTCGCCAGCGCCGGCGGCTTCCGCTGCGTGACACACTGCCGCTCCTGCTGCTGGCCCGGCTCGCCCTGCTGCTCCCAGCCCGGCTCGTGCTAGCAGTCGTCGTCGCCGTGGTGGCCGCCGTGGTGGCCGCAGCAGCAGACGTGGCGGACATGGTGGTCGTGGTGGCAGACCTGTCCTCTGTTGGCGTGTGCGCACGTGAGGGGCGGCGGGAGCGTGGGCGCGACGATTCCCGCGACGGCCGTCCACTGGACGATGATGCCGTTGATCCCATGCGCCGCCGCCGCTGTCGCCGTTGCTGTTGCTGTTGTTCGCGTTGGCTTGTGTGCTCCTGCGCGTCTGTGGGCGGAGCTGAGCGCTTCGCGCGCTTGGGCGGCTGTTCGGATCCTGCATCCAGTGAGGGCTGCCGATCCACACCAGCAGTGTCAGCAGGCACGTCACGCTTGCCAGAGTCAGCAAGGGCCGCTCGCACTGCTGACGGCTGCGACGTTGTTGCAGTGGGTGTCTCGTGTGGCGCCTCTGTTGCTGTTGCTGCTGTTTCTGCTAGTGCTGGGTTATCAGCAGCAGCGGCAGCAACATCATCATCATCATCATCATCACCGCGACCGGCCTTTGCTGGTGGCGCCGGCTGCTCCGTGGCAGATGGCGGTGATGGTTGCGCTGCAGATGTTTTGGCTGCTGGTGTGGCTGGTGGTGTTGTTACCTTTGCTGGTGGTGGTGGTGCTGGTTTGAATTCGTCGTCTGCATTTTCATCATCACCAGCAGCACCGGTGGCAGCAGCATTATCAGCACCGCTGCTTGCAGGCGCCGCAGCACTCTGCTTGACTTGATCGCCGCCCGCTACCGCTGCTGTCATCGCACCCGCACGTGCGTTTCGTTCCACAGCGGTTGCGCCATCATCACTTGGCGAAGGCGCCCGCTGTTTCGCGCGCTTTCGTGGCTGCTCACCAGCATCGTCACGACCAGCACGATCAGCACGATCATCACGGTCGCCATCGACATCATACGTGGGCGCAGGTGCGGTTGCCGTAGTCTTGACAGCAGGCAGGGTCGCGTGCGTTGAGGTGGCAGTGGCCAATGCAGGCTGAGCCGTATGCACGGGCGTGGCTCCGCTCTTCCGCTGCTGCGGGCTGCTTTCCTGCGCCTTTTCGTCACACTCTTGCTGCACTTTCTGCTGCTGCTGCTGCTCTTGTTGCGCTTCCTGTTGTTGTGCGGCGCTTTGCGTCTGCTCAACAACAACATCAGCGCCACCACCTGCTGCTGCTGCAGCTGCTGCTGTTGTGTGGAGTGTCTTGGTCTTTCGTGCAGTTGTCGTGTCGGCTGTGCCCGTGCCGCTTGCGGTGAACTCATCTTGCTTCTTGGTTTGTTTCACCGCAGCCTGCTTCGCTTCATCAGTCACTAGAGCGGCAGTAGCAGCGGAAGAAGAAGACAGCGCCTTGGCATCTGCTTCCTGTGTCTTCTCACTTGCCCCTGGCTGCTGCTGCTGCTGCTCCGGCTGCTGCTGCTGCGGCTGCTCTTCCTGAGGTCGTTTGGTCGACTGCTTGTGCTCCTGTACCTTTGATGCCACCCCAGCCCTGTCGTCCTGTGTGTAAGGGGGCTGTTGCTTCTGCTGCGCCTGCACCTTCTTGCGTGTCTGTGGCAGCTGCGTCGCTTCTTGCGATTTGGCAGCGACCGGCTGCTGTTCCTTGTTGCCTTCATCACTCACAGGTGGTGGTGCTGTTGCTCGTGTCGTGTTGCTCGAAGACGCTGGGCCGGCATCACTGCTTGCTTCCTTCGGTGTCACAACAGCACCTGAAGCCGTCTTGGCGTCGTCCTTTGCAGCACGGGATTGCGGAACAGCCGCAGCCTCAGCCGCCTTTGCCATTGATTTTGGCTTCGCTGCGGTTGGTTTGGGAGTTTGTTTTGGTGTTTTTGTGGAAGGTTCTGGCTTTGCTGCGGTGGTTGCAGTCGCAGCCGGTGCTGCTGCCTGTGGTGGCTGGGAACTGTCATGCGCTCTGTCAGCAGCAGCAGCAGCAGCAGCAGCAGCAGCAGCAGCAGTAGCAGGTGTTGTTGTTGTTGTTGTTGCTGCTGTTGTTGCTGTTGGTGTTGTGGATGCAGCAACCGGTGTTGCTGTAGAAGGCGCAGCGACACCCGTGGTGGCTGAAGACGCTTTCGCAGGCGTCGCAGGCGCCTTTGTAGTTGTGGCAGGCATGGTGGCTGAAGGTGTGCTAGCTGGGGCAGCCTTTGTGCTAGCTGGGGCAGCCTCTGTGCTAGCTGGGGCAGCCTTTGTGTTCGAAGCTGCACCGCTCCCGTGACTCGTCGCGACCGCTGGAGATGTCGTCTTTGGTGCTGCCGCTGGCGACTTGGTGGCTGTAGCCGATGCCGTAGCAGATGCAAGCGATGATGATGATGATGATGATGGCGATGGCGATGAAGGTGGGGTGGGTTTTGAAAGGCCGCGGCGCTTCAGGTAGTCTGCCAGCGACAACTTGCGTTTCCTCCCAGATGCAGGGCTACCACGCGCTGCCGTTGATGCTGGCGCTGCAGGCGACGACGGTGTCGCTGATTTTGCTGCTGCTGCTGCTGCTGCTGCGTTTGATGGTGTCGGGATCGCCTCTGCCTTCAGCTCCGCAACGCGCCCGCTCTTGTGTTTCTGGTGGGGGTGGTGGTCTGGTTGTTGTTGTTGTTGTTGTTGTTGTTGTTGTTGTTGTTGTTGTTGTTGTTGTTGTTGTTGTTGTTGTTGTTGTTGTTGTTGTTGTTGTTGTTGTTGCAGCAGCATTGGTGACGGCAGCGACGATGGGGAGCTGGGCGCTGCTGGGGAGGAGGATGCCGGTGAGTCGGGGAGGAACACAGACGACCCCTGTGCCGACAGCGGTGACGACACGCCAGGCGACGTTGCACCGTCCACAATTGATGGTGGTGCAGATGCATTCACCCGCAGGCCATGCACATTGCGGTGCACAGCCGGTCTGGATGGCATCTGGCTCACCACGGCCCCAGGTGCAACAACATTAGTGGTGGCGGTGGTCGTCGTTGTGGTTGTGGCACTGCTGCCCGCAGTTATTCCTGAAGCACTCGTTGCTCCTGTTTGTGGTGTCGTGACCAATGGTGCTGCTACGGTCTTGACTCCAAGCATGGGAGGCTCCTGCTTCACCTGTACAACACGCTGCTGCTGCTGCTGCTGCTGCTGCTGCTGCTGCGGTAGTAGTGGTTGTTGATGCTGTTGTAGTTGCTGCTGCGTGCGAGGTGTCCCAGCAGCGCTTTCGCTCTCGGCTTTGACGCCAGAGTGTGCAGCATCAGGGGCCGTGTCCATGGCCGTCGTCGTGGCTGCTGCTGGTGCTGCATTCATCGTGCCAGTCACAGCACCATCCTGGCCATCATCACGACCACCATCAGCGGTGGTTGCAGGGTGGGCGGCCTGTACTGTGCGCAGCGATCGTCGCAACCTCTCCTTGAAGCTGACAAAGGGAACAGGCTGCGCGGCGGGCTCAGCCGTCATGCCAGGCGTTGCACTCTCCTTCGACCACCACCACGACCACGACAGCGCCGATGCCGCGGTGCTGCTCGTTGTGCTCGCGTTCGCGTTGTTCGTGTGGGTGTGGGTGGTGGCGCCTGTAGTTCCTGTGGACGATGAGAGTGTGGTGGTGTTGTTGGTGGTGGTGTTGGTGGCGCTGGCGTCCTGGGCGCTGTTGCGGCGTGTGCTGGTGCTGCTGTTGCTGACGCAGTCGTCGTTGTCGTTGTCGTTGTCGTCGTCACCCAAACGCGATGGGCCAACACCGCCACAGTTCGGGCTGGACCTGCTGCCGTCAATCGCAAACCGCACCCTGCGCGCCGCCTCCCCGTCGCCACCCGCGTTGGCGGTTGTGCTGGAATGAGCGTTGGTCTTTGCGTTGGGCGCTGCGTTAGTGGAGGGGTTGCTTGCCATCTTCGCTTGCTGCCCATGGCTCTGTTGCTGAGGATGCGTTGTTGACGGTGTTGTTGTTGTTGTTGGTGTCATTGGGGCTGTGGCGGCTGCTGTTGATGCTACGGGGGTGGTTGAGGGTGTGAGGTCGTCCGTGTCGAGACTCGGCACACACTCCGGCATCCACTGGCTCATGTACTTCTTGCGAGCATACACCCCGCCCTGCGGAGCGCGTTCAAAGGCGACGGCCACCACACGGCCAACGTGCGGGCTGCTGTACTCAAATGGCCGCGCAGCCTTGCTGATGCGCCCCTTCAGCCCTTGGAACAGCAGCTGCGTACATGGTGGTGGTGGTGGGCGTGGTGAGTTTGGCGAGTTTGGGGAGCTAGTGAGGAACAGGAAGCACAGCGTGTAGGCGAGTAAACTTGTGATTATAGGGGCAAAGGGCTGGAACACACGCGCGCGCGCGCGTTCGTTCAACGTCCATGAAAAATGCACAGGTAAGACGAAGCAAGTCAGCGAGCAACGTACATCAGAGAGAATTTCGCAAGCGTCGTTGTGGTAGGCGGCAAACGGGGTCTGGCTGGCGCTGCTGATGGTGTTGTAGTTCTCCAGCTCCTCCTTATGCGGGGTGCTGTTGCGGCGGCGACGGCTACGACGACCAACACCCCCACCACCGCCGCCACTTCGCCCGTGCGGGGGGTCGGGGAAGGCATCCATCGCCCGCGCGTCGTAGTTGTACCCGGGCGTTAGTGCTGATGCTGACGCCGATGCGGAGATGAGGGAGGGCGAAGAGGGCAGGCGACCAGCAGCATCAGCCAGCGGGTTCATCTGCAGATGCAGTGACGCAGGCCGACGCCCTTTCGTGCCGCCGCTGTACCATCGACACAATGGGAACGGGGGAGGTGGTTGTAGGTGGAGGAGGTGGTTGTAGGTGGAGGTGGAGGCGGTGGAGGAGGTGGTTGTAGGTGGTTGGGAGGGGCGTGAGGTCAGCTGTGAGTGGCTTGCATGCCGTACGCAATCGAACGATGTGCCCATGCATTCAGCCAATGTGCGCGCAAGCATGTGTTTGTGCATGTGTGTGTACGTGCATGAACATGCACGTTACCTTGCAGGCTTTGCGGAGGATGCTCTGCGGCCCTTTCCGCCGCTCGACCGGCGCCCCTCCGACGCCCGCGCTTCAGAACCGCCTTCAGCAGCAGCAGCAAGCAGCAGCCATCATGCAGGACACACGTGATGATAATGACGGTGGTGGTGGTGGTGGTGGTGGTGGTGGTGAGGGAGGTAGGTGAGGGTGGTGGGGGTGAAATGAGTAATGCAAGAGTTCAGTGCATGTTCACATACCACACGTACACGCACAATCCAATACACATGAACACCATGGGTGCGCACCTGCCGGTGTGTGCTGTTGCTGCTGCTGCTTTGCCACCTCACCACACGCCTCATCGATGCGTCTGAGAGACATCATGAGCTTGCGCTCCTCGCGTGACATGCGGGCAGTCGGCGTGCCTGCTGGTGATTCAGGCACAGACGACACCTGAACCAGCGCAAATACGTGGTGGGGGTGGGTGATTGTGTAAGTGAGCAGGTTGGGGTTGGGATTGGAGGTTTACGGTGTGAGTGCATGGCGAGGGAGCAGCAGTGCTGTGTAACTGTCGGCAATCATGACATCAATCATGACAGCACCCTCCATCCAACCCCTCCCACATCCCGTCCACGCCCCTCCCCCATCTCTCCACGAGACACTTTCAAGTGTGCCAAACGCACTGATTTTGACTGCTGCTTCGGCTGCTTTGGCTGCTTGGGTTGCTTCGGCTGTCGCTGTTGCTTCGGCTGTGGGCGGCGTGGTCCCTTTGCAGCCAACGACCGCTGCCGCCGCTTCATCGCTTTCGCGACTGGCGGCAAGAGAGACGGTGATGGTGGCGGTGGGGTAGGTTGGTGACGGTGAAAGTGGGGATTACATTCAGGGACAAAGGCAAGCCATGAATGAACACGCACACTTGCACACTCACTCAAACACGCACACACACACGCACACACACACACGCGCACACACGCACACGCACACGCACACACACACACGCGCACACACGCACACGCACACACGCACACACACACACCGTCCACACAGCGACCGCCATTGTTGCTGCTGTACCTTGGCAGAGGGAGGAGCCGCATGCGCAGTCGAGGAGGTAGGAGACGGACGCCCAGTCCACATCAAAGGGGATGGTCACCTCCGCGCCCTTGGGCAGATTGCGTGATGCCGTAAGGGCAAGGGCCAGGCGGCCGCGGGCCTGGAACACGCCCAGCGACGCCGACGCATCGCACGCCCGCCGCACATAGCGCGCAATAGACCCTCGCGTGCTGAGAAACGGAAGGAGGGGGGAAGGGAGGGAGGGAGATTGGGGAAGGGATGCAAAGAAAGGTATTGGAGGCAGAGTGTGGACCCATCACGAGCACAGGGTGAGAAGACAGCTTGTGCAACAAGCTTAGTGGCATCGACAGAAACACACGCACACACACACATACACACATACACACACACGCACACACACATATACACACACATACACACACGCATACACACACATACACACACGCATACATGCAGACATGCACACACACACACACGCACGCTGCCGCCAAGCTCACGTGGCGTCGACAGCCAGGGAGAGGCCGGCCGTGTCGAAGAAGATAACATAGGGGAGAAACGTGTCCTCCAACTTGTACTGCTTGGCTAACTCCGAGCGCAGGCACAAGCGGCCAGATACAACCGTGATTGGCGCCCCCTTTGGCACGTCCTCTTGCACAAACAGCGCCTGCAGGCAGGCAGCCAGGCAGGCAGCCAGGCAGACAGCAGCAAAAGCGAGACGCGCGCGGTTGAGTTGGTGGTGGTTACGTTTGTGGTTGTGACGGTGTGCAGAAAGCAAGCCAGTGGAAGGAGTGTTGCAGAAACGACAGCAGCCCATGTGAGTGCACAGGATTCAACGTGTATGAGCGCACCTGTTTGCCGGAGACAATGGTGTGATGTTGGACAACGTGGTGGTCCTGGTCCTTGATAAACTCTGTGATGTCATCCAGCTGATTAATCTCGATGTTCTTCGCAACGGCCGCTTTGGCGGGTGCTCTGCAAAACGCAAGTGCAACACGGGCGAGGGCGTGAGAGTTGGAGATGGCGGGAATTCGGTGGGCTTGTGCTCCGAATTCATGTCACATATTGACGGGAAGTGGTGTGTTTGCGTGTGTTCGCATGTGTTAATGTGTGTTTGCGTGTGCTGTGCGCACAGGTACGAGTGAAGTTGAGCATGTGCAGGTTGTGTTGCTGTTGTTGTTGCGAGGAGTGACGTACGAGAGCTCGAGGACATTTGTTTCTTGGAAGGGCGTTGCCTGGATGGGCTCTGGCAACGGCATGCGCTTTCGTCGCCGCGCCAGCGCACGCGCCTTCTTGTCCTGGATTCGCATGGCCCGCAGCATGTCCACTTGCCTGTCGAATGATGCACGAGGAAGTCGTTGTGGAGAGCAAGGGTCGACACGAGCGAGGTGAACACGTTGTGTTGGCAGAAGGAGTGAAAAGGTGGCAGGTCGACATGGAGGGAGAACACCGCAAAGGGGGTGGGCGGGACACCGTGCAGCAAAACAGAAACAGCAGCACCGTGTTGCAGAGATGCAGCCACACAGAGGCCACAACAGCACAGACAGCACAGGACGCACGACACAAGGAACGTACAAACACAAATCACACACAACACACACACACACACACAACACAACACACGATGTACATATGCACGCAACACACGACGTTCACATGAACACAACACAACACACACACACACACACACACACAAAACACGACGTTCACATGAACACAACACAACACACACACACACACAAAACACGACGTACATATGTACAGACCTTGGCTTGCACCTCTCGCAGAGGTAGACCTCGGGGATATCATCTGTGTCGATGTCTTCGAAGCAGGCAATGTGCTGCCAGACGTTGCACGAGTCGCAGCACACCATGGACTCATCATTGTGACGGTAGCAGCACACGCACCGCGTCTCACCAACGTCGCCGCTGCTGTCTGAGCGCGATGCACGCCCCGATGACATGGTGTGCTGTGTCGAGACAGCGACAACCTACAGCTGTACGTATGTCGAAGGTGTGGCTTGCCTCTTGTCGTTCTGGCTGAGCATTGACAACCCCAAGCAACTGTTGTTGAGGCAAGCGTGGCTGCGTGGAGGGTGGTTGGCGCTGCTGGTGTTGGTGTTGTGTGTTGTGTGCGAACGCGCCAGCCGAGCGCTTTGCTTGGTCTGAAGGGTGCGAGTGGGGAAAAATGACCGTGACTTTGCACGAAATCCCCCAAGCAGCTGTGAGGCTGGCAAAAAAAAAGGTGAGGCCACGGAGAGGATCGAACTCCCATTTTGAGATTCAGAGTCTCATGTACTAGCCATTATACTACGCGGCCGTCATCTTGATGGTATATGAGGAGAATTTTACATATTTCAAATAATGTTGCAGAAGCTGGCTGCGTTGTTGCTGTGCTTGCTGTGCTTGCTGTGCTTGCTGTGCTTGCTGTGCTTGCTGTGCTTGGGGCGTAGGAATGCCCGCAGCGAACTCGCGAAGAAGTATTGCAAGCACCGTGCTCAAAGGTGCAGTGGATGTGTCTGTGCGAGGACACAACACACTTGCAGAACTCCAGCTCCCACTGTTGCAAATCACACACAGACTCTCTTCGCTACTATCGTGTCTATGATGTCATTTTGGCCGCAGCCGTCACAGAAGTCCAGCGGACCCGAATGTAAGCGGCGACATAGTATAATGGCTAGTACATGAGACTCTGAATCTCAAAATGGGAGTTCGATCCTCTCTGTTGCCTTTCTTTTTTTCTTTTTTTTTCTTCCTCCAGCCTTGTTCTTTCAACGTACGGGACAGTTGTTGGAAGGCACAGCAGATTTTCACACACCCCGTTCATACAATGCCAGGCAGCAGCTTCGTCAATTTCAGTCGTGCAGTTTTCCCATCCGCTGCTGTGTGTCAGGGTGAAGGTGGTTCTTCTTCGTCGTTGACTTGACCTGGTGCTCTCAGCTTGTGTTGTAGCACTTCTCAATCACGCAGGCAACGCATACGAAGCCATACACTCGCACGCACGCACACACACACACAGCACACACACACACACGCACGCTTCCACATCTTACAATCGTCCATATTCTCATTCCCGAGACAGCAACATCAAACCATTGCCCCAACAAAGTCGAGAAGCATGCGCCGGAGCGGCAGTGCAGGCGACCGCGAGCGCTTGCTTGGCCGTGGCGATGTGGACTTCGAACTGCAGTATGTTTCCACAACAAAGCGGCTCCACCTGCTGGTCAAGGGCGTGCATCTGCCGGCGCCCGTCACCACCGTCGACCCCCGCCACATCGTCAAACAGATGCGCAACCAACAACAACAACAACAACAACAACAACAACAACAACAACAACAACAACAACAACAACAACAACAGCAGCAGCAGCAGCAGCAGCAGCAGCAGCAGCAGCAGCAGCAAACGCAGCAGCAGCCGCTGGTTGATGAGGGCGGTTTGCTCTTACCCAATGAGAACGGAGAAGTGAAGCTGCCGATGGAAACGGACCGTGGAGAGTACATCACGTTTGTGGCTGGGCTCGAGGGCGCGAGCTCAAGTGTTTCCCCGCCCGCAACAACAGACAAGCGACACAGCTCCATTTCCGTGTTCACCTCACGATCCTCATCGCCATCATCCGTCCTTTCCTCCCCCGCCAACGAGCCCACCATGCCTGATAGCAACGCCGGTGACTCGGACGACAGCCAAGCACAGCAGCAGCAGCAGCAGCAGCAGCAGCAGCAGCAGCAGCAACAACAACAACAGCAACAACAACAGCCACAGCAAGACGGCGAGTCAACGTCTCGACGCGGCTCAGGCATTGCCCTCTCCATGAGCACACCCGAATTCTCCTTTCGGCGGCACACAGATCGCCGCGTGACGCACCGCCGGTCCCACCCATTGATGGTCGGCATATCGGCTGCAGACATGGCTTCCACCACCCAGCAAGACAAGCAGGGCGCAGACGCTGCTACTTCTACTTCTGCTGCTACTCCAACTGTTGCTGCGGGTGGTGGTATGACTGCCACCGACAGCGCCACTACCGCCCCAACAACTGCAATCAACTCTTCACCCCAGACAGCGTCTCCAACGGCAACCAGCAGCACCATCACGCCCACCACAACTGCAAGCTCAATTACAGCACAACAACAGCAACAGCAGCAACATCAGCAGGAACAACAACAAGCGGAGCAGCACCGAGACGGCAGGCGCATGTCACGCACGACAACCGCGACAAGCGTGAGCAGCAGCGACACCAGCAACAGCCGGCCGGCAAGCATGTGCGAGCCACACAGCCCTGTGATCCGAGTTGATGGTGCCATCGTCCACACACACGTGTCACCGGACAGAGGGGGTGACGGTGTTGGCAGTGTGCGGTCGACAGCAAGCTCAGCAGCACAGGCAAAGCGACGTGAGGTGTACGTTGTGGCTGAGCTGCGGAGTGCGTCTGGCAAAACGGCAAGCAAGGCCCACACCAAGACTGTCAAGGGCACGACTGCCTTTCTCATTGAAGAGGTGCTGAAGCTCAAGGTCAAGTCTGCGCTCAACAAGCACTCGGACACATGGCGCGTGTGCATCGAGGCCTGGTACGACACGTTGTGTGTGATTGTTGGTCGGTGCGCGTGAAAGCAAGTGCGCGTGATGTGCAATCACTGCCTGTTTCACGATCTGGACACGTGCATGTGTGTTTGTGTGTGTGTGTGTGTGTGTGTGTGTGTGTGTGTGTGTGTGTGTGTGTGTGTGTGTGTA